ATCACCGCAGCGGCCCCGGTCCCGGTGGAGTGCCTCAGGAAGGTGGCGGAGGCTTGCCTAAGGGAAACGGAGGCGAAGTGGGTGCGGCACGTCAGCGGCAGGAGGATGGCGGCCCAGGAGGCCGGTTCCAGGGTGCTGCTGGTGCAGGGGCAGTCTTACGCCACAGCGGCCCTGGCAATCAAAAAAGGGCTCCCGCAAGCTCTGAGGGCCAGCATCCGAGACGCTACGAAGACCAAGAGCGGGGCGCTCCGGGTGGTGGTGGCGAAGGGGGCTGATTCCTCGCAGTTGGAGAAAGCCCTGAAGACGGCCGTCGGCAAGAACATGTAAGATCGGATTTAATACCAATGTAAAAACAGAAACTTCGCCGTCGCTGCATCACACACCGACGCCGGTCCCAAGCCCGGACAAAGAAGGAGGGTTGTAGGGTGAGGCCAGCGACCTACCCTACGTAAAACATCAGTGCTCATAGAACCAGACAAGGGCCTCGGTTACGGACAGATCAACGACGACAACCCAAGCAAAGTACACGGACAAAGAGAAGATTACAAAAACATAACCTTAAAATCGCCACATGGAACATAAAATCGCTCAACAGAAGAGACCAAGAAATGGAGCAAGAATTAAGAAACCACCACATTGATATCTGCGCACTTCAAGAAACTAAGAAAAAGGAAAAGGTCAGGCAGTAGTTGGAGATTATCTACTAGCATACAGCGGTGTAGAGAGGAACGAGCGAGCAAAAAAGGAGTCGCAATCATGTTTCACAAAAGTTAGTAGATCACATTATAGACATCACGTACGTTTCAGCCAGAATAATACACGCAAAACTGCTGCTAGACAGGAAACGCACCAACATTATAAGTATTTACGCTCCAGAAAACTGCAGACCCCAAGACGTAAGAGAAGAATTCTTTAACTCACTGCAACATGTTTTAGACAGCCATAAGAACGAAGCGACTATCATCCTAGGAGACTTTAACTCAAGGATTGGCAACAGAATCATACCCGGAGTTAAGCAGAGATTCAACGAGGAAACAGAAAACGAAAATGGAACGCTGATGACTAACCTATGCACAATCAACGAACTACGAATAAATAACACATATTACGAACACAAACAACAACACAAACACACGTATTGTAACTCAAGGGGACACACATCAACAATCGACTTCATTGTGACAAACCGAGTAATTCCACCAACCAGCATATTAGATGTAAGAAGCTTAACCTCGGCAGACATAGGAAGCGATCATGCCCTCGTGATTGGGAAGCTGAGACTAATATCCCTCCAAAAGAAACAAGCAAAACATGCGAAGAGCGCACAAAAATAAAACAGAAGGACTAGCTGACCAAACAACCAGAGAACTATATGCAAACAGACTGAAGGAGAAAGTTACAAACAACAACATACAAGAAGGAGATAACGTTGATACGGCATGGGAAAGGCTGAAAAGCAACATACAACAGGCTGCCGAAGAAGCGCTAGGCAGGAAGATCATCAAGAAACCGAATCCTTTTGCTAAGAGAACTCCATGGTTCACCGAGGAAATCAAAATGAAATGCAAGGAAAAAGCAGGCACACATTCAACACCTCACGCAAAGAACGCAAGAATCATACGAAAGTTACAAACAAATCCGCAGAGAAACGCACGAGTTAGTACGGAAGACGAAATCCGAACACTGGAGGATCTTCTCAAAACAACTAGAACATGACTTCTATGGAACCCAAAAGACAGTATGGAAGACCATAAGAAACCAGAGAAAAGAGCTCACAGAACTGGTACAAGCAAAGGGAATAGACAAAGAGACCTGGATAAACTACATCAAACATCTATACCGGGACACAAACCAGGAGAAACCTAATATCTCAGTCAACATACAACCTGATGAACCAACCATAGTAAGCATATCTGAGGTGGAAACAGAACTCGCTAAACTCAGAAACAGAAAAGCCAGTGGCCCGGACGGAATACCCAATGACCTCCTGAAATACGGCGAAGAAGTGCTCGCGGCCGAAATTACGAAACTTATCAACATCATCCTGAAGCATCAGAGAGTACCAACTGAATGGAAATTGAGCACACTAATAATGATGTTTAAGAAAGGAGATAAGCAAGAACCATCCAACTATCGAGGAATAGCTCTGCTAAACACCACCCTGAAACTAACAACTCGATTACTAGCGAACAAGATATTAGCACACACCACACTATCAGACGAACAACAGGGCTTCAGGAAAGGAAGGTCCTGTAACGACGCAATATTCATAATAAGACAGGTGAAGGAAAAAGCCGTGGAGTGGAACAAACCGGCTTTTCTTTCCTTCGTGGACCTAAGGAAAGCGTTTGACAGAGTGCAGCTCCAAGACATAACCAGCATACTCCGAAAAGAAACATCGCATCTGATATCATCAATACTATAAGGGACATCTACAACAACAACGAACTGCAACTAGCAATAGCCGAACAACGCACAGACCCCATAAAAGTAGGAACAGGGTAAGACAAGGCGATTCCCTAAGCCCCCTGCTATTCAACTTCATCATGGAAGAGATAATTGCAAGAGTCCGACGCTGTAAAGGATACCAGATGGGGGGGAAAGAGCTGAAAGTTGTGTGCTACGCGGACGATGCCGTGCTAATTTCCGATAGCGAAGACAACCTACAACGCATGATTCACCAGTTTAACATTGCCAGCAAAGCCCTCAACATGGAGATAGCAACAGAAAACCAAATGTATGGTCATCGCACCACATCCAATAAGATGCAAACTTGAAGTCGATGGACAAATCGTACAACAAGTGAGCGAGTTCCGATATCTTGGTATAAACATATCCAGCAGTGGAGGAGTGGAAAAAGAAGTAGCAGAGCAAGTTGAAAAGGGCCTGAGAATAGCAGGATGCCTAAGGAACACGATTTGGGACAACAAACATCTAAGAACAGAGACGAAAGTTTCCATCTACAAGGCAGTAGTCAGGCCCATATTTACATACTCGGCAGAAACGCGTGCAGAGACGACAACCACAAAGAGATTGCTCACCACCGCGGAAATGAGGACACTAAGAAACATAGATGGCAAAACACTGCTCGACCGGATAAAGAACGAAGACATCAGAAGAGCGTGCAACAACATAGAAGACATAACACAATGGTGCAAAAGACGCAAAATCGAGTGGAACGAACACATAGAACGGATGGACGAAACCAGAATAGTCCGAATAGCCAGGGACAAATCGCCAAGGGAAAGCGATCCTGGGAAGACCCCGAAAGAGATGGAGCGACCACCTAAACCCTGTCTGAAGTAGGAACAGGCAATATGCCTACAAAAGAAGAAGAAGAAGAAGAAGTAAAAAACAGAGAGTAAGCTAAACCAATTTATTCAATTGATACAAAATATTTAAAGAAATAACAAAACACGTCTTCACTAGTCGTACGCCAAAATTATTCTGCCTGCCCTTCGGTCAGAAAAGTGACCCTCAGGCCTCGCAACCATTCTTCCCACTTCTCTGCTCTCATATTTTACAATTTTACAACTGTCGTCCCTCGCACTCGGTACATCTTTAAAACTATGCTTTATGTTACAAAGTATACTTAATATTAGACGTTGGTATTGGCCTATACCCATTTCCGATACTACAAACATGACGGTCAGGTCGGCGGACAGGAAGACCCTGCTGATCTTCCCCGATGTGGACGAGACCACCACGCCGGAAGAGGTGGCGGCGGCGGTGGGAGAGCTGCTCGGGAAGACGGTGCCACTGGAGGCGTGCAGGATCACGAAGAGGGCGGACGCCAGCGCATCAGCATCGGCGATGCTTCAGGCAAGGGACGCGGAGAGATGCCTGGAAACCAAAAGGGTGAGGATTGACCTGTCAAGGTCAAGGATCCTGCGGATCGCCCCTACGGTCAAGAGATGCCCCCGGTGCCTGGAAAAAGGACATGGGGTGGCGGCGTGCAAGGGGCAGGATCGCTCCAATTATTGCCGAAGATGCGGCCAGGAGGGACACCAGGCGGCGGCAGGCAAAGAGGATCCGGTGTGCTTCACCTGCAAAGGCAAGGGCGTTCAGGAAGCGAACCACCTTAGCGACGGCCCCAGCTGCCCCTCCCGATAGGCAGGAAGGCAAAGGGCCGAAGGCAACATCGTCGGGACGAGGAAGGGCCCGCGCAGATGCATGCGCTGCCTTCTCTACGGACACAGAGAGAGGAGCTGCCAGGGGGAAGACAGGACCGGCGTTTGCCGGAACTGCGGAAAGCCCGGGCACATGGCGAAGGCATGCCAAGAGGAGCCGCGCTGCATAGCCTGCGTGGTGGGTGACTTAGCAGACACGGACCATAAAGGAGGAAGTGAGAAGTGTCAAGCGGCGAAGGCGACGACGCAAGAACCGCGCGAGGCACCCTACAACCCCGAAAATGCGAGTGGCTCAAATTAATTTGAACCACACCTGGGCGGCCCAAGATCTGCACATCCAGGCAGCGAGAGAGTGGGGTCTCACCATATCGCTGGTTTCGGAGCCGCTTGTGGCCTCGAGACCCACGGGATGGTACTTCGACGACCTCAAGAGGGCAGCGGTGGCTGTATGGGACAAGTTTCTCGCGCAAAACGTATTCCACAGGGCAAAGGGAGTGGTGGGGGTAACGGTCGGTGGAAGAAATTTCATCAACTGTTACGCATCTCCGGCCCTGACGATCGGGGAATACGACGAGCTCCTAGCGGAGGTCGGCACAGCACTGGACGAAACCGGAGGAGGTCATCGTTGGAGGAGACTTCAACGCCAAGGCACCGGAATGGGCAGCGCGGGCTTCGGACGAGAGAGGCAGGCACCTCCTGGAGCTGGCGGCAACAAGGGACCTTGTGATTATGAACAACGGTACAGCCCCCACATTCCAGAAAGGAGCGCGCACTTCCAACCCTGACGTCTCGCTAGCAAAGGGTCTCACAGGACCATGGTCCTGGGCGGTGGTCGACGACGAGACGGCGAGCGACCACAGGCTCATAATCATGGACCTTGACGAGCAGACGACCCGCTCTGAGACAGTGACGCGGGAGAGATGGAAGGTCAAGGAAGTCCCGGAGGAGACAGTGACGGAAGCGGCACAGCACACGCTGCTCAGGCGGCCCCTACCCAAGGGGGCGGAAGTAGCTGCAGAGACCCTCCAGAAATGGATGGTGGCATTCTGCAACCAAGTCTACGGCCGCCGCAGGGGAGGAGGTAGGACGGCCTGTCGGAAACCGATGTACTGGTGGACGGAGGAGATCTCCCAAGCCAGAACAGAGGTCAAGGCGGCCCGCAGGAAGCTCCAAAGAACGAGGGCAGATCAAGCGGAGCAGCTGGAGAGGGCCAGAGTCGAGGCCAGGGCGGCCAAAAACCGTCTTAAAAAGATGATTCGGGTCAGCAAACTACGCTCATGGGAGAAGCTGACGGAGGGGGTGGAAAACGACCCGTGGGGCTTGCCATACAGGATCGTATGCAGGAAGTTCGTGAGAACACCCCCGCCTGCCCTGGGAAAGGCCAAGGAAGCGATGGAGCTGCTGTTTCCAAGCAGACACCCAGAAGAACCCCCTGTGACACAGACCGCCCCGGCGGAGGACTGGTGTGTCCAGGAGGTGACAGAGGAGGAGGTAACCCGCGCAGGGCTGGCACTCCAGAACAAGAAGGCCCCCGGCCCGGACGGCATTCCCAACGAGGCGATAAAGATGGCAGCAATCCTGGCCCCAGATAGGCTGGCAGAAGTGGCCACAAGTTGCCTTCGAGAGGGAGTATTCCCGAAACGCTGGAAACCAGCCATCCTCATTCTCTTGAGGAAACCAGGAAAGAGCGGGGACAGGCCAGGAGACTACAGGCCGATATGCCTGCTGAACGGGCTAGGAAAGCTCCTAGAAAAGGTACTCCTACACCGGTGCGAGGGCCACTTTGAGGGATACCTTTCCGACACCCAATACGGGTTTAGGAAGGGTAGGTCAGCAATAGAGGCCATGATGAGCATCACAAGGCAAGCCAAGGCAGCGATGGAAGGAACAAGGTACACGCGCAGGCTGGTGTCGCTGGTAACAGTCGACATTGCCAAGGCAGCGATGGAAGGAACAAGGTACACGCGCAGGCTGGTGTCGCTGGTAACAGTCGACATTGCCAATGCGTTTAACAGCGCGTCTTGGGAGAAGATCGCCGATGGCCTAAGAGCAGCCGGATAGTCTGGTCGCCATTACGCAAGAGGCGGTCGACAAGGCGGTCGACAAGGTGGTCGACTGGGCTCGGCAGGCGAGGCTTGCCATCGCGCCACACAAGACCGAGTGGGTTGTCTTCTCCGGACGGAGGAAGCTTCCCGATCTAGGGTTGCGCATCGCGGGACATCCAGTCGAACCGGCGAACCACCTGGTGGTGTGGTGTACCTGGGGGTAACACTGGACAGGTCCCTCACATTTCGGGACCACCTCAAGGCCAGAGCCAAGAAGGCGGGAGCGGTGGAGAAGGCGCTTGCACGGCTCATGCCGAATGTGAGTGGCCCCAAGCAGGCAAAGAGGAGGCTACTCATGCATGCAGTGACGTCCGTCATGCTGTATGGGGCGCCGGCCTGGGTAGAAGGTAGGGGCACGGACATCTGCAGAAGGATCCTGGAGCCGACGTACGGGAGGTGCGCACTCAGGATCATCCAGGCGTACCGGACAGTATCTGGCGAGGCGGCAACGCTGTTGGCGGGGATGCCCCCAATAGACCTGCTTGCCGGAGAAATGGCGTACATGAACCAGTTCACAAAACGTCAGAAGATCGCCCGGAGAGGTGCGGCTAGGGAGGAAACCATCCGGAAGTGGCAAGAACGCTGGAAACGAGGCGCAAAAGGCGCAGGAACCAGAAGGCTCATCCTGCCAGTCAGCGACTGGGTGCACCGTAAGCACGGGCTGCTGAGCTTCGGCATAACCCAGGTGCTGTCGGGCCACGGGACCTTCAACGAGTACCTGTCGAGGTTCAAAGAAGAGCGTGAACCAGAGTGCATGTACTGCGGGGAGCAGGACACGCCGGAACACCCAATTCTACAATGCGACAGATGGAGCCAGGAACGGCAAGGGGGGCTGGAAGTACCCGAAGGGAAAACGCTGGAAGACCTGGTGGAGGACATGCTGGGCTCCCAAGAGATCTGGAACGGGATCGTGGGGGTGGCCAACCGCATCCTCAAGGAAAAATCGCGGGAGGAGCGCGAATTTGAATCCAGCAATGGCTGAACGCCCCGGTCTAGGGTACGACCAGCGGAAGGGATCTTGCCGCAAGATGAGAGACAGCCTCAGAAGAGCAGTGGGATGGGGCAAATCCAGAAAAGACAATCACACGGAGGAGACCAGTGGGAGGAAAGGACAGGAGGAGACGCAACCAGAGGCGGACACATCCTGGAAGAGGAAGTTCGATAAGCTCTGGGTGGGAGGAGGTACCCTTCAAGGAACAACCGAAGGGGCTACAAGGACCAGACAAGGGGACCAGTCGGAGGGAGTATATAAGAACCTGGGCATCCAGATGGCCCTCTCGAGAGTGGAGGAGCCAAGAAACCTAGCGGCGGCTCTCCGCCACGTGTGGAGAACAAGGCACCCAAAGGGGGAGAAGATCACCTTCCCGACCCCAGATGCCTTGGACAGGATGCAACTCCTAACGGCTGGGCTTCCCACGAAGCCAGAGGAGCTTGAAGATCTGGTCCGACAGGCCTTCAAGAGAAGAGGAGACAACTGGGACATGGAAGAAACGTACAGGGACTTCGTATGTGCGCACGGGCGAATCGCTTTCGATCCAGCGCTGAAGTGGCCGGCGAGCCACCCACATGTCCGCTTCCCTTGAGGCGAACATCTGGAAGCTGAGGAGCAGCTCCAATGCCCAGTGCCCCCCGAAGTAATGGCAGAGATGCCGGCCAGGGGACGCATAATGTTAAAGCAATTATATTACAGTGCAGCGCTTACGGCTATTATATGTAACTTGACAAAAACATTGTAAATTTACTATTAAAAAAAGATTTGTTAAAGTTAATTTCGTTCCGCTATGTGTGATACAGGATTTATAAAAGCAAATTCTGATAACATGCCTGATGTTGATATATTTATGATCACCAATTTTTAAAAAAATTACCTTCGGTTTAATTCTGCCGAAGTTCGAGGTGCCAAGGCATCGAGGTAAGTCTTTGTTGTATTTGTACATAATGGTACAAAACAAGAGCGATAACTTTTGAGATTTGACATTTTTTGTATATTTTTGAGTATTTAACAATTACAGAATGAAATTAATCAAAGCTCAAAGCACTGTGCTTATTATCTCTGTCTCTGTATACTACTATGAGTGAAAACTAACATTATGACGTCACACGCGCTCGGATTTGTTCGGGAGTTATCGGCGCGTCTTCGGTACTGGATTCAAAAATTAATTTTTATTTTGATATAACTTTTTAATTATTGCGAAAAATAAAAAAAATAAAATTGTTTTGTTATAAAACTTATATATGATCTTTCCATTTAAAAAAAAAATTCAAAAACCCAATTGTGGGGACTACCATCTCACCATCTGTGCTATCTAATTCTTCATCTGCATTGCATACCATTTTCCCAAAATTCCTAATATCTTATTGACGTGATAACGTCTTTAAAATCGTTTTAGTCGGGTGACATGTTCAGAAACTTGTGTCCCACCAAAACCTCACGAGCGCGATCGCAGGTATAACGAGAGAGAGACGGACCGATCTCCCGTCTCATCTCGAGCGCTGCCAGTCATTCCGTGAAACTTGTCACGCGGAATGCTAATGCTAAAATCAAATGTCGACCACATGTCGTCAGCAAACCAAACACTTTATCTGTCGATTGGATACCAGTGTACAAAAATTGTCAATATTACTTTGTCAAAAACAGTGAAGTGCAAACGGAAACAGTTTCCTTGCGTACCTGCTTGTGCCATTACAATCCACAAGTCCCAAGGTGGGACATTTGACATCATTGTATACAAGTACTCTTCTCAGCAACCATTGCAATTAGTGTATGTGGCCTTGAGTCGCGTAACAAGTATCGAAGGCTTGTTTATCATTACAGAAAAAGATTCTTGCTCCAATTTCAAACATGGTCGACAAGGAAACGATTCTGAAACTACGAGAGAGATTCGCGATGAATACAACCGACTTCGTGGACACCATCTCAAGACAATCACTAAGAAAGCGCTAAAATTCTGTGATGATGCTACCGACTTGGGACAAACAATTATAACAAACATCAATTGTCAAAGTTTAAGCGCCCACGTTGAGGATTTAGAAACAGATACAGTCATACTAAGATCCGACTATTTAGTTCTGACTGAAACGTGGATGCGAGACAATTGTCCACCAATTCCGATTAACAATTATGAGTGCATATCCAGGAATAATAATCGAACTGATTCGGACACCAACGCAGCTGGAGGAGTTGCAATCTATTGCAAATTATCATCGCCATCTACAGCGAAAGTGGTTGAAATTGCGATTACAGACTCAGCTCGTCACATCAAAACCTCAGGAGATGTGTGCTTCACTGAAGTTACTTGCTTTACTGCAGATACCACCTTCAAGTTTGTGCTCGGCGCTATATACGTTCATCCAGGAGCTAGGTCCGTACATTCACAACACCCAGTACGTGACCCCGTTCCTTCAAGTTGATTCTAATATACCCATTCTTCTGTGTGGTGATTTCAACAAAAACGTTAAGACAGATGACTCACTCCTCAGATTCATGAAAGAAACGTTCAATCTTGAAAACTTGTCAGATGTTTCAAAGTCTACTACGTTAAAAGGAACAACCATCGACCTGACTTTTGCAAGGCACATAACAGCTGAAAACCTTCCTTTTATTTCTTACTTTTCCTATCATCGTCCTATCCTGAACAGAATTACTCAGATTGGAAACAGATAAATTTACGTGAAGATTGTAACTGATCGTATTGTATGTTATGTATGTATGTATGCATGCATGCATAAATGTTTGTATAAATGTATAAAAATATGTTTGTATGAATGTATGTATGAAGAAAAATGTATATCATAGTCGAATAAGTAAACTTGTCATTTTACACCCTAAATTTATCATCAAAAGTGTGAATAAAACGATAGATGTAATTTAAAATTTGAAAAAATTGAAAATTTTTATATTGTTCGATATTGCTCACTTAATCAAAACATCAAGGAATTGTTTCATGGGTGACTGGGCAGATTAGTGGCGTAAGCTTTCGGACGAGGAGAAAGACAAATGGTTGTATGAAGGAAATGTTATTGAAGTCGATGGTAAAAAAGCTTATTGGCGTGATATTATGAATGCTTATTGTTACACAATAGATAATAACGAAGCTACACGTTTGACGGAAGAGCACATTTTCCCATCTTCCAAAAATAAAATGAAAGTTTGTTACGCAAGTCAAGTATTTAGTCAAAAATTGTCTGCTGAATTGAGAGCACTAGCTGAAAAATCCGACGGCCAGAGAAACAGCAGATGTTTTAGAGACTTTTGATTTTGCATTTGATCATATGAATGGTAGTAACATAAAAAAGAAAGACAAAAAAGTAGATACCAGTCGGCGAAATGTTTCTGCAACTACTGGACATTTCAAAATTTGGATTGAGCTCTACAATGTTTTCAAAGGAATGAAGTTTAAGTATTGAAACAAATTTAAAAAAGGTCACAACCGCACCATTCAAACACCAACGCCCCAAGCAATTCTTGATAATTGGGCGGCTATCATCTTATTTATTAAATGAAGGTGGATTAAAAGAGTTTAACCTTAGAAATATGACTCAAGATCAACTAGAATTTTTTTTTGGTTGATTAGACATGAACAAGGTGATAATGACAACTTATGCTGGTCTCACTTTGAAAATGTATGGAAAACCCTATTACACACTCGATACTCACATTTAAATTTAACTAATCAAAACAGTGAGGATCACATAATGGAAAATTTTGTTAATTTGGACTATTTAGTTACTGAAAATTGTGTTAAACAAAATAACAATGAGACTCTTCAAATTGAATATGGATTAACTGTTTCTGACAAAAATTCTTCAATGCCCACGCTTCCGATTGAAAATACAACAGAATGTAATTTAAACAATGACCATACAAATTCTGAAATTTTTTTCTTCTCCTACTATTCACATCGCAGATGGTGAATTTGATGCTGACTGTGACTTCTTCGGAGTATTATCGACAACGACAAGTAAAGGACTTAATTCTACAACTATTAAAGATTCATCGTTGAAGAGGTTACGCAAAAAGTTTTCATGCTCAGTGTGTGATAGTTTTGTTTTTCTACTAAATGACGATGGAACTGTTAGTAAACTTCAATTTTCTCTCGTGATTTCAAGATTCATTGACGAAGCAACAAATCTGTTCACTCAACATATTAGTCCAAATTTACACGATGAAGAAATATATCAGCAAGCAGTTGATTTATTAAATGAATTTTTTTAATTACATTGGATTAAATACAATGAAAATGGACATGGTGAACGCTTAAAGGTCATATCATCAAAATTCTGGTAACAGTTTTAATTCATAGTGAATGCTGTCGTAGAAATAGTGAAATGAAACGATCTGAAATACGTGCATCTAGTGCTTCAAAAATAGCACAATTGAAAAATCAAGCCAAATAATTGTGTGTTATTATTAATGTGAAGTTCTTAACAGCGTGAATTTACCGTGTGAATCTTTCATCAAATTTATTTATAGCATAGTATGTTAATTTGTTTATCAGTCCAGATTCCGAGGCTCTGTTGAGGCTTCTTTGAGCATTGCGATTGTTTAACGGGGGGTAGGTTGCAAGCCTTATCCCCCAACCCTCCTCCTTTTTGACCCGGGCTTGGGACGAAGATATGCGAACAGACCCCGACCTACCAACAATAGACGACGATAACTGGACAATAACGCAAGAAGAACTATCCGCAGCGATTAAAACTCTCAAAGGGCGAAAAGCACCAGGAATCGATTTAATAACGAACGAAATACTGAGAGCCGGTGGCCCACAACTGGAAGACGAACTCTGGAACCTCTTCAACAAAAACGTCAAAACCGGAAAAATCCCACAAGACTGGAAAACAACCATCACAATACCAATTTACAAGAAAGGCGACAAAAATAACCCTGACAACTACAGAGGGATCACACTGATTAACAGCACGGCGAAGCTATTCACTAAAACCATAGCAAAGAAAATAAACACCAACATGCCATTCAGAGATGAACAGCAGGGCTTCAGACAAAGCAGATCAACAATAGATGCAATCTTCGTCGTTAGACAGATCGTGGAAAAGTCGATCGAGTTCGCAAAGCCCGCCTTCTTATGCTTTGTGGATCTTAGCAAAGCATTCGATAACATACGAGTATCAGACGTAGTCAATGTACTAACAGAGAGAGGAGCAGGCAGAAAACTAACAAACATCATAAAAGACCTGAATACAAACAACAAAACAAAGGTTAAGACGCCCACACACATATCGGAAACCGTCCCAATAACGGACGGAATCAGACAGGGAGACAGTATGAGCCCCACCCTGTTCAATCTAATCATGGACAAAATAATAGGCAAAGTAAAACAAATAAAAGCCGGATACCGCATGGGCCGAGAGTCACATAGCATCATCTGCTATGCAGACGATGCTCTGCTTATGGCTGAAACAGAGGACGACCTACAACGACTGCTGCAAACCTTCGCCCGCGCAGCCAAGGATTACAACCTGCAAGTATCCGCGGAGAAAACGAAATGCCTGGTAAGCAGTAAACACCCCATTCGATGCAAATTACAACTAGGTTCACACATCATAGAACAGGTGATGAGCTTCAACTACCTGGGGGTAGAAGTGACAAGCGATAGACAGCTCACGAAGGAGGTTGTAAACGCAGCCAACAAAGCACGACGAATCTCGGGCGCGCTAAACAACATCATATGGCGCAATAAATACCTATCACAGGAGGCAAAAACCCGGGTCTACAAGACCGCAGTCAGGCCAGTTCTCACCTACGCTGTGGAAACAAGGGCAGACACCGCCATTACCAAACAAATATATCGCACAACAGAGATGCGTACCCTACGCGCTATCAAGGGAGTCACACTAAGAGACCATGTCCGCAGCCACGACATCCGGCAGGAGCTCGAAGTACAAGATATCGCGTGTTGGGCGAGAGTTAGACGCCGACAATGGAGGGATCACGTGGAACGCATGACAACACAGCGCATAACACATTGGGCCATGACCGCAAAACCTATGAAGACAAGACCGCTCGGCCGTCCACCTAAGAGATGGTCCAACAGCATGACGAGCGAACTTGACCCACACATCCAGTCATTAAGATCAGAAAATTGGTAAGTTAATCGTCAGTCGAGCGAAAGGTATTGCGTGGGCATTGCTTTCATCGTGGAAAAAGGGCCTAATATAGAAGAGAAAAACTTCATACTATTCATATTCATATTTAAAACAAATCTTTTGTTAGATGCTATTTAAGAAGTTCGAGGTAATAATCAGAAGCTGCAATTACGATGGCATACTCAATCAAAAGTGATAAGATAGGTTACACGTTATGTCACCATTCTTCCAAAGACTGGAGTCATAACAAAAATGTTCAGTGGCAGGTTACTTTTATCCTAGACATAATATACAGTCTGCCAATATTAAACAAATTATAAATTACGTAATTAAATTATCGCATTATGTAGCTTAATTTTTGGCTTAACCCTGGGGTTCAATACACTTTCACATTGTTGTTTACATGTAAGGAAAGCAGGGAATACAATACAACTGTCGCGATTTCTCACTTTTTATCAGCAAAATTATTTTTCTGATGTAGTGGCGTTGTGAACAATTTAGAAAGAATATGTTTTGAATTCGCAACTCACTGAATAAAAACTTAGTTGTTTTATTCCAATTCAGCTCAGAGTATTGTTTCCCAGGATAAAAATATCCTCTCAGTCATGCTGAAAGCTTTTGTAGGTAAAACTCAAAAAATATTTTTGGTGTTTTATTTCAGCTTAAAATATTAATAGGTATACATTCAATGTGCAAGAGTGAAATTTGAAATAGTAGTATAAAAATCATGAAATGGGCTCTCTCTAATAATATTGATCTCAAACATTAAAATTAGAACGAACAATTTTGCCGGATATCGCAGTTGTCATCTCGATCCCACACTTGCGAATGAACTTAAATACATACACTTTTCGCAGTTATTGGGTAAGACGGTGTCTGCATTCGCCTGTCTGAAACTGCGCCAGGCGCGTTACGTTACTGTAACACCTTTACTTTGCTTTCGCTGTCTTTACCTTAGCCTTGTCAGTCGCCCTACACCACGCCGAACGCGATCTTGCGCGAGTCGCGTTTCTTTACTTTTACCATCCGCGGGGCCATTCTGACAGCCAGTCAATCTTCCGGCGATCGAAGAAATCAGTTCAGTTCGGTCGGCAAATGCGACCACGATAAGGTCCGCACGATCAACACACTACATCGCTAAATATTGTACTTAGGCTTTTATAAACTACACTGAACAAACAAAAAACAAAAACAAATTCCAAACTTTTTTTAAATTAAGTTTAGAACTGAGTGCAACTTGGTAAAAGTTTAGTAATCAGTTGAGTACAGAGACAAGAATGAATCTCCGGGATACGTTTCCGGATGCTCCTGTTAGTGAAAGCGGCATTCGGGGCATTGGCTGCTACCGGCAAAGGAGGTGCATCAGCTCGGGGAGCATCACATCGGTATTCTGTTATTATTCCGATGCGCGACGCGTGGATGTGTGTAAATGTAGTCACGTTATCCTGCCGGAGAAAACTCACCTAGCCAGGCCAGCTCAAAGGATTGATTGAAGATAAGGCGTGAAAGTTCTACTCACTGTTCAGAGTTTAATCAGTAAGTAAATATTTTCTTTTATATCATTTATAGCAATAACAATAAATATTATTTTCTTGCATTTGTCAAATACACATTTGGTAACGCCATTGAATCATGCATGTGTACATAAATTAAAGTATTACCTCTTAATTATTTTGAAATAAAGTCACACTCATGGACAATCGGAGATAAATAATTTAAAATCGATTTATTTATTTATTATTGGCATTCCACGCCCAACAGTTGCACAGACATATATGGTAGTTTTAGTAATACGAATGCAAGGGCTTTTCTAGAATTACAGTGCGCTTGAGTAAATCAATTATAATAAGTTAACATAAGTTACTGACAATTTAAACGTCATGTTGTTCAAAGTCTTATTTTGTTTTATCATTAAAGTTTTCACATGCAGCGCGCACATCTCAGAGAGTATTAATTAATCGTCGTCTTAGCAATTAAATCATCAGCAAGCAAGTGAATTAAATTAAAATCGTGATCGGCACAGAAAGCAATAAGAGTCGTTACGTTACGTTCTTGTAGAATTCATGTGGATTTTTAATTTACGTAACGCATTACAAGTGCCAACAGCAATGCGCAATCTAGATAAAAATACAAAAAAATAAGACCTGAAATTACGGATTGCCATTTAAAATATCTTGCTCACTCGCGTTTTTCTTTCAACCTTTTGAGTCATTAATGGAAATACCTATATCTTGCAGAAAACTCTGAGGCAATAATAAAACTGTACTCATTGAGAAGCAGGTTGCAATTAGTTTTATGTCGTACAAATCCACTTGTTGTGTTATATCATACATTTAGTGTCATCTAATTACTAATCTTTTGATGTGTCATATTTTCTTTTCACAGAACTTGCTAAAACCTTGAACGCCACAAAGATTTTCGGTCTTGAGGTACAGTTGAAAAAGCTGAGCGCCAAGCAAGACATCACCGATTTTATTTCGACCATTCGAACGAAGCTCGGCAATGATTTGTTTGTGGCACTTTCAGTGCCCGCAAAACCCGAGATTTTGGCCAAGTATTACGACTTCAAGACGCTTAGCAAACACGCCGATGTTTTCACTCTGCAGACGCACTTCTTAGGCGCCAGCCGCAATGTCACTTTCCATCCGAGCCGCCTGTCCGGCCTGTGGGACGTGCAGAATACGGTGAGTGTGACACAATTACCTGCAAATGTCCTCGTCATATGAGCCTAATTGAGAGGTGCTTGGAAATTCGCGTTTCGCAAATCACAACTTACAATGGCACTTAGCGAAGGCGGGCCACGATCTGCCTTCGGCACGATCAAAATAATTAACGTCAAAGGCAAACCTGCCTGCTTGTAAGCCTCGCGGGCGTTTAATTCTTTAGCAATTCATATGTTTATAATTATTTGTATATCAAAGCATTGAAGTTGCATTTTTCTAATGTGGAGATAGCCACAAGAGTAATCAAAACTCAGTCGAATGATGCGAAACCTATTAATTAATACACGAAATTTTATTTAAAAAGATGAATATTTATAGCACAGCCCATTTCGTAAAAATTATGTAAATTCACATTTCGGAAATGTGGCGAACGACAACAACTGACATTTGTGAAGCGGTTTTCTTGGTCAAGTTGCACACCGAATATCGATTTAATTAACATGAAAATGCCCCGGCGATCGCATAAATTGGTGCCGTTTAGCTACGCGGCCATAAAACATTTATTATGTCACAACTTGCCCGCATTTCGTTTTCGATTTCGACGACATCCCAAAATGAAATGCGAACAACAAGAAAAGATAACGGCCACGCGAAAAGAGAAAAATCCGCCGTCGCTCTGCTCTGTTTTCGAGTCTCGCCTGCATCGGCCGACTCGTTTCACTTGACGCTTTATTATTATTCATCCACATCAACATATTCACATGTCCATAATATGAGCTCGCGCGCACCGCAGCGTATTTTCAGATTGCATAAGCCCACACTTTTCGGCGACGCGAACCGGAATCGTCGATAATCATGCTAATCGCATTACGAGGCGTGCACATTTAAATTTATAGTGCCCATGAGACCAAAATTTACATGAAAAGCTAATTTTTAGCGTTTCTAGTCGGCCGGAACGAGTCCGCTCCGAAATTTCCATCTAATTTCAACGCGTGTCGAAATTTATCGCTTCGAATTTGTCGTCTCGGTCGCCCTTTACCAAAAGCGCGCTTTATCAATTTCATCTGCCACTTTTCGCATTCCAAATGCTTGTGTATCGTCTCAGTTGCCTCCAACGGCACAGGTGGAAGCGCGGCCGAACGCCCGCAGCAGGCAGCATTTTATGGAAAGTGAAATTTATCGTTATATCTGTATTATTATGGCGTTTATAATGCGCTGGAAGTTGAGCGCGCGCGTAGGGGCGACGCGTTGACTTCAGCATTGAAGATCGAACCGCATGGAAATACTAATATGAAATGTACATAAAAGGCATGAAGGACCATATGAATCAGTGGAATTGAGCGGCTCAAGGCTGCGCGTTCCGGTGCGATGTGTGCATTGGTCTTCGTCGGCGATTTCGGCATGGGCACAGCGAAGAGAAGGGCCCCGAATAGAAACATAAAGCATCCATTTAATAATCAAGCCGTGTTAAGCATATGCCAAGAATTCAAGCGATGATTAAACCGATTGGTTTAATTAAATTTTAAGAATCTTTGTTTTTCTAGTATACTTCTACTCCAAGGTAGTCCGTAACACAAAATCACAATAACATACATTTTGTGGCCGCAGAAAAAATACTAAGTTGTTGGCACCTACTTAAGATTCGTTCCGTTTTCATTCCCCTTTCTGAAGATGGCTCGGTTTCTTTTAATCGACTGCGTGTTCGTGTCTCTAATCCAAGTAACTCCAAGAATGAATGAACAACAGCTCAACGGTTAAAAACTTGTTGAATGAACGAGGCCGACGAAGCGTGACGCATTTATTACGACTGTTTGAGTATGGTCGGTGCAATACCGACTTACGATACGATAAACAATCTTGAATAGCAGCACCTGTGTGCATTTCTTGCTACACTTTATCGCAGCATGCATTGTATTTATGTATTATATTGTTTCATTATTGTTTCAAATAGGATTCTGTTGTGGATCTGGTCACCGGACTCGGTGCACCATTGAACAAATTGGTTGTCGCGACACCTGTGCAAGGATTCAAATTTCTACTTCAAAATGAGGAACACACCGCGCCTGGTAGTCCTGCTTTGGAATTATCGACTCTTACCCGGGACGAGCTCTGTGTTACAATGGAAAGCGATAAGTGGACTTTGGAACGTGATCAGGATCAAGCTGGACCATACATTTTCAGGTGAGGCTTTTTGCACGTTGGCTCAGTTAGAGATGTAAAAGATTTCATATATTCATCTCTGTAAAGAATGTTAATTGTTTTGGTGTTGATTGCAAAACGTAGCCTTCGGTTAGGAATAATTATCGCCGGATTTGCATACGCGAAGCAAAAATTCGATGTTTTAAACTGAGAAGATTGAAATGCTGCGCAATACATCTGTTACAATTTGGGATTGGTGAAAATAGAAACTTATAGAATCTGATTAAATTTAACTCTTCACTTTTATGACAGGTACGAGTGCTTTGTCTATTGTAATAAATCAAAACTATGAAAATAGATTAGCTCATTCGATAGAAATATGCATACCTTAAATGTTTACTCAAACATGTAACTAATTGATTCAAATTGCTCCAAATTATGCAATGAACGAAACGCTTGCTCATGGCATCGCGTTTTGGGTGCGTCACATTATTGACTACTTTGTAGTGACCACGTATTGCACAATCGCGACGACACAAATGAAAACGAATTACATTGAGACATTTTAACATTTTTGTTGTGTTGGGTCATAAGCTCATTGGATTGACTGCAAATCCTTCATAATCTACTTTCTAATGAATTACGCATTCATTCTTTAGAAAAATAAATGGATTGCTTTCGAGGATGCCACGTCAATGGACATCAAAGCAAAGTATGCTCGCGTCCGTGGTCTAGCTGGCTTGGCCCTTAAAGACCTGTCACAAGATGGCGGTGCCAAATGTGGTGAAACCCTGCTTGAATCAGCTTTCAACGGTCTCACCAAGCAAGCGAGAGCACCACGTGGAGCTGTCTTGCATTCATTGGAACGTGAAATTTTAGAACCTGCAGTCCGACCTTTCGACAACGTGCAAGTTTCGCCATATCGAATTTCTAGAGTCATTGATACAGAAGGACATGTGAATGTTATCAGACAGGTTCGTGTGCACGCTTAAAGTGATAATTACGATTCTACTAGGTTTCTTTTATTTGGCAGGACACTCGTACGGAGTTCAAATGTTCGAGACAAGGTTATTTTGTTCATCCTAGATCCTGCAATAGGTTTTACCGTTGTGTCAAGTTCGATCAGCAAAGTGATGAATTTAGCGTGTTCGAATTCGACTGCCCAGCAGGTTTGGCGTTTGATGAACGTGTGGAAGTATGCGTCTGGCCCGGAAGTCTCCCGGATAGTTCCGCTTGTGCGGGCAGTAGTGAAATTGCACCCGTGCCTCGCGAACGATTCAATTGTCCAGAAAATCCTGGTATGTTTGATAAAACATCAATTCATCATGGATTGTGGTGTGATGAGATTTTTTCACTTTATAGGCTACTATGCTGACCCGGAAAATTGCCGTTGGTTCTTTGCTTGTATGGATCATGGCAAATCGCCGCTTACCGCATATGAGTTCCGTTGTCCTTATGGATTAGTTTTCGATCAAGATAACCTCCTCTGCGAATGGTCCTGGTTGGTGCCCAAATGTGGATCGGGTGCGGTTGTGCACGAAACTGTTTATGGAGGATATGCTGCTTCTGGTTCCATCTCAGGTGTTACTATTGGAGCAGGAGCTGAACTCGCCGCTGGTGCAGTTATTGGAGGTGGTGCCGGAGACTTATCCCTGGAAAGTCGAGATGGTGCTTTTGATTTGGATTTCTACGATGGATTGGGTTCTTTGAATAATGTGCGTTTAGGTGGTCTGAGTGGTCCACTTCATGCTACAGAAGCGATCACCTATAGTAACTTTGAGAATAGCGCTAATGGAAATGGGGAATACCAACATACCGCTGATGGCAATATTGCAAGCCACAGTGTGCAAGCTGGATACGCCCAGGGTAATTCGGTTGGAAGTGGAGCAACATTCCACGGTAGTGGACTCAATTACCAAACCATTAATCCGGCCAGTTCAGATGCAGAATCTGGTCATTTCTTCGGAGAAAATATTGCCTCAGCAAATGTGGCATCTGCTGGATCCGTTGTAGAATTACAGACTGATGGCTCCTACACTGACAATTTAAATCATCAAGGGGATGCATTGAAGTATTACAACGCATTTGCTGCCAATCGCTTCACTGAAAACGCGGCCGGTTTTGAATACGACCAAGGTCATCAACTAAACCAACAAGCACAGCAATCGATCAACATTGTCGCCGGAGGCACATCTGGAGTGGCTAGTTACGCAAAGAATGTTGATATCTTACAACACGGAGTAAAGATAGATGTTGAGTCAATTAAGCCAGCTACTTTAGTGTCATCGACAACGATTTCTCCGATTCCTACAGTCACCAGCGTACCAATTCCAAGCCCAGCGAATTTTGACACTTACCACAGTTATGGAGTCGTCGCCAATCTGCCAAATTTGCAATACAAACTGGAAAATCCAACCATAATTAATCATCAATTGCATCAACTTTCTGACCTCAATTCGCAAAAGACATTGTATTCTGCAGCGAACGTAAGTGTTGACTATGCAGGTTACGCTGCATCGAATGTGGGTGCCACTGGCCAATTTCGCGGATATCACTATGAAAACCATACGTACCTTTCGTTGAAGGTCAAAATCTTGGTGTTGTCTCATACGGATCTCAATCTTACAATAAACCGCAGATCATGATTAACGAACCCAGCTCGTATGGCCAGCAACATTTAGTATTTGAACAAAAGCCTCTCAGACCTGAGGTCATGAAAACGTACACTTACGAACAATCGTCCCATGGCTATAGCTATGATAAACCGAAAGTTGCCTTTGTAGAGGGTGCTAAATTGAATCTGCAGCCTGCACAAACATACCAACAAGTGCATATTCAGCAACCAGCGATTGCCTATCACCAAGTAAACCATGAAACAGACTCTAATCATGAGGGTTATGTTTACACAGGACACACAGGATACAATTATGAAAAACCTAGCATCAAGTTTGAAGCTGCACCAGTAAAAACGGTTACACCCGCTCTTACTTTCCAACAAGTCGCTTTGCAACCTGCCAAAACGTACAGTCAGATTAATGTTCATCCTACTGTTCAAAGTTATCATACAATCCAACATGAACATTCCTATGCTCAACCAGCCACTACCTATCAGCATATCTCTCACGAGGTACAAACAACAGAATACCAGTATGAAAAGCCTACCATCAAGTTTGAAGAAAAGCCCATTGTAGCGGTTACCACATATCATGAAGTGAAGCCACAACAGTCCGGAACTTACCAACATGGTAACCATGAGGTAAAAGCTGAAGGATACCACTATGAAAAACCCACCATTAAATTCGAAGAAAACCAATAGTACCGCTTACAACTTATCAAGAGACAAAGCAAGTTAACCTGAATGTTAAACAGGGATATTATTATGAAAAACCTGCCATTAAGTTTGAAGAAAAGCCAATTGTTCCCGTCACAACACACCACGAAGTACATCCCAAACCTGTGGTGACGTATCAACAAGTAAATCATGACATTGAGCATAAAGGATATCATTATGATAAACCAGCAATCAAATTTGAAGAGAAACCAATTATACCAGTTACCACTTATCAGGAAGTAAAACCACAGCCCACCGTAACCTATCAGCAAGTTAACCATGAAGTCAAACAAGAGGGATACCATTATGAAAAACCTGCCATCAAATTTGAAGAGAAACCAATTGTACCTGCAACGACATACCAAGAAATCAATATTCAACCAGCTGTAACCTACCAACATGTTAGTCATGAGGTGAAACAAGAGGGATACCATTATGAAAAACCTGCCATCAAATTTGAGGAGAAACCAATAGTACCTGCAACGACATACCAAGAAATCAATATTCAACCAGCTGTAACCTACCAACATGTTAATCATGAGGTGAAACAAGAAGGATATCATTATGAAAAGCCATCCATCAAATTTGAGGAGAAACCAATAGTACCTGCAACGACATACCAAGAAATCAAAATTCAGCCAGCTGTAACCTATCAGCACCTTAACCATGAGGTGAGACAGGAGGGATACCACTATGAGAAGCCTTCCATCAAATTTGAAGAAAAACCATCAATTGTACCGGCCACCACTTATCAAGAAATTAACATTCAACCAGCTGTGACTTACCAGGAAGTTAAAGTATCGCCACCCGTGGTACACGTTCAACATGAAGTGAAACAACAAGGTTACCATTATGAAAAACCAGCAATTTCATTTGAAGAAAAGCCTGCTAACACTTACCAGCAAATAAACATCAAACCAGTTCAAACGTATCATGAGATTGAACATGAAGCACCAAAAGTTTTGATTGCGGAGAAAACGCCTCCTGTAGTTCAAGAAATTAAGCATGAAGGTTATCACTATGAGAAACCAAATGTGGCCTTCGAAGAAAAACTGGTGGTACCAGCTACAACACACCAAGAAATCACAATTCAACCGGCTGTTACTTATCACGAAACAAAACATGAAGGATATCACTATGAAAAACCAAAGATTGTGTTTGAAGAAAAACCATTGGCTACACCCACATACTTGCCACCTGTTAACACCTTTCAACAAGTCCATGTAGCAAAGCCAGCTGTGACATTCACTCAGCACGTTGTTCAACCAGCTCTTCACAGTTATTCTTACCGAAACCAATCGTCGATCAGAACATTCAAACCCAGTCTTATCATGAAATTCATCATAAGCCTGCTGTAGCGACTTACCAGAATGTTAAACACGAAGGTTATCATTACGAGAAACCTAAAATTGTGTTTGAAGAGAAGCCAGCAGCTCCCGTGCTTCCAGTAGTAACTTACCAAGAAGTCAAACATGAAGGTTACCATTATGAAAAGCCCAAGGTTATTTTTGAGGAGAAACCTGCGGTACCAGCAACCACATACCAGCAAATTAATGTACAGCCGGCTGTAACGTACCACTACCAACACCCCAAACCTTCGGTGACTACATATCAGGATACTAAACAAGAAGGTTATTTCTATGAAAAACCCAAAGTTGCATTTGTTGAGAAGCCTGCTCCCGTAGCGCCAGTATCCCCAAAAATATCGTACGTCCATCATGTTCAACCGCAACCTACGCCAATATTATCCACGTACCATCAGGTTAAACCCCTGCTGGTTGAACAAAACCTACCTACAAGCAGGTTATTCAAGCTGTCACCCCAAACCTGTTATCACGAACAGCTTCTCGATAAACCAGTACAGTCAGGGTTATCACTATGACAAACCTGCGATTGCGTTTGAAGAGAAACCTGTTGTGAAGGTAGTGCCAGCGACACCAACATATCTCCCACCCAGACCTATTAAAATCAATCCAGCATTGAATTACATTCCTCCCAGACCAGCAAAACATACATTCCAACACCCACAACACCCACACCACCAGTGAAGGAGTATTTACCGCAACTTCCAGTACAGACTTATTTACCAGCACCAGCTCCAACCATTAAACATGTAAAGCCAGTTCAGACCTACTACCAGGAATACTATAATGCCAAGGAGATTGTTGAAGAACCATTGGTGAAAACCAATGCCTACCAAACTGGATACCACTACGAAAAACCAGCAATTAAGTTTGAGTACTCTACTCCTAAGCCCACATTTGTTTCGACTGTTGCTAGCGTAATCTCGAAGGTTGAACCCGCGCAACAACAGTTCATCTCATATGACAGCCGGCTGGACCATCCGAGGATCCAACAGAAAATTCAACAACTGGATACGATTCACGTTGAACAACCTGTCGTGCCAATTGTACCAATCGTCCAGCAAGTGAAGACAGTCACCTCAAGACCAATTGTTCGATATGAATTTTCTTCTTTGGATTATCAACCCGTCCAACCTATTCAGCCTATTGTAAAAGAGAAACTTCTCATCCATGTGCCCGACAGAGAATACTTGCCTGCTACTACAACCAGGCGACCGATTGTAGTTGCCCAGAAAAATGAGTACCTTCCACCCGCCCCACCAAAACGGGTATACTTGCCAGTTACCACTACAACTGAAAAATACATCGAAGTGACCGTCCCTAGCCGTGAATACCTACCAGTTACTGAAATCTTTAAGATTAGAACGTCTACACCAGCGAAAGAATATTTGCCGGTGACAAAGAGAGTCAGAACAAGACCACCTACTACTACTGCAGCCCCACAACAACTACCAAACCAAGTCGCGAATATCTACCGGTCAAGTCAACTAAACAACCAGCTCGTGAATATTTACCTGTGAAATCAACTACGCCATCGCGTGAGTATCTCCCTGTTTCATCAACGAGTAAACCAAATCGTGAATATTTGCCGGCCAAACAAATCGAGAATTACGAATATAAACCAGAAGAGCAGATCGTGTTGTCAACTAGACGTCCGAAGGTGATCAAGGTTGTTAAAACCCGTCCGATCGTGAAAGTAAACGATTTCCATCCAATTCTCTCCGCTAAATTGGGCGCTCAGTGTACCTGCACTTCTAATACATTGACACTTAGAAGGAGGAAGCCACAGAAATCTATGAAGCTTCAAAACGATGCGGACGATGCCACTACGCGTATCTCCGACGAAGAAGAATATGTCACTAACGGGGATCAACTGGACACAAGGTACGACCAAGCTCCAAAGAAGCAATCTGTTATCATCGTAGCCGAAGAAGACGAAGACATCAGCCAGGATGACGAAATTCGTAAGCAAGATATCGCCAAGGCTGTAGATTCCGGTCTAAAGTTGGTGAAGTCCGCCGTAAAGCAGGGTGTGAAAGAAGGTGTTCAAGAGGCTTTGTCGGGTAAAGATTTCGATCGCTATGGTCCAGGCGGTCTGCGTAGTCGCAGTGAAACTCTTCAGGGAACCGTCGACTGCCAACGTGCGGGTCTCTTCAGGCATCCCAAGCATTGTAACAAATTCTACGCTTGTCGATGGGACGAAGGCAAGAAGAAGTTCACGTTGCACGTGTTTAACTGCCCGGTGCATCTTACTTTCGACAATAACCTGGGCGCTTGCAATTGGCCCAGCCAAGGACCTGCCTGCGTCGACAACACCTTGCTCCCAAGCAATTAAATTCTCACTTTATCATATTTATAAGGATACTTCTTTTACGTTTGTAACTTTCTATTTGTTTTATAGTCTAAGCCATTATGTCTTTATACATTATTTATTTACATCATTTTACATCTAGTAGGGATTAAATCACCTTGTAGCCCTTAACCGCTTGGAACGACCAACGTGCATGTGCAGATTTTGCTCGGCAATCGGTTAAGGGACCAACCAAAATCAACGTTTTGATGAACAGGCAATAAATTACGTTATTTATATCCAGAATAATTTCAGGTGTCTTTATTTTTTCAATATGCAGATATGCATATATAGTGTTTTCAACAAAAATAACATTAACAACATTAAATGTTAAGAACAACAGGAGCTGAGTGTCCCTCAAGTTCCTTCTTGTACGCTTCAAGAAGTGGTTGAACTTCTTCCTGAAGAAACTCAGTGACTTGGTCAGCAGCCCTTCCAGTAAATGTTGTTGGGTCTAAAAGTACGTCCAACTCGTTAATGATTGGAGCGAAGTACTGGTCATTTTAACGCGCTGGATTAAATCATTGTCTAATCCGTGTTGTTTCACCTGAGCAGCAGCCTCGTGAGAGAGTACTCTAATCTTTTCGTGACAAATTTGTCTATCACCACCCTTCTTTACCATGGCCATAATTAGATTTTCAGCTGACATGAATGGTAGCTCGGCGCGAACGTGTCTGTCAATAACCTTCGGGTAGACGACCAAACCTTGAGTAATGTTCAAAAGCGTCAGTAGAACTGCATCTGCACTTAGAAAAGCTTCGCTCAACGTCATACGACGATTGGCAGAATCGTCCAAGGTGCGTTCAAACCATTGGGTGGAATGGGTCTGGGTGGCGTTGGCGTAAAGCGTCATCATGTGGCGCGCCAGCGCGCAACACCTCTCGCTACGCATTGGATTGCGCTTGTAAGGCATAGCTGAGGAGCCAATCTGACTCTTCTCAAATGGTTCCTCAATTTCCTTCATGTTCGCCAAAAGTCTCAGATCACTGCACATCTTATGCACGGTGCTACCCAAGCTGGACAAGGCTCCCACTACCTGAATGTCGACTTTCCTAGAGTACGTCTGTCCAGTAACAGGGTAGGACTTTTCAAATCCGCTCAACTTTGAAACAAGTTTATCCAATTGCGCCACTTTCTCCTTATTACCATCAAAAGTTGTAGGAAAGAAGCCTGAGTTCCTGTGGTGCCTTTAGTACTCCTGGCTCGCAAATCATCTCGAGCCCGTTTAATGTCTCGCTCATCCATCAATAAATCGTTCAACCATAAAGTGGCTCGTTTGCCTACTGTGGTCAACTGAGCGGGTTGAAGATGAGTGAAACCAAGGGTGGGCATAGTACGGTATTCCTGCGCAAAATGAGCGAGATTCTTGATGACTGCTGCGAGTCGAGGAAGTAGAATATCGAAGCCGTCTTTAATTACGATCAGATCGGTGTTATCCCCGACAAAACATGAGGTCGCTCCTAAATGAATAATAGGAGCAGCTTTTGGGCATTGTTGGGCAAAAACATGTACGTGAGCCATGACATCGTGACGGGTGGCCTTTTCCTCCTCAGCGGCCGCATTGAAATCGATATTTTGTAAGTTGGCTTCCATTTCTTTAATTTGATCATCCTCGATATTCAGTCCCAACTCCTGCGACAAAAACAAAACGACATGAATAATTTGGCGAGGAATGCGGGGCTCCGAATAATTGTTTCATGAAATGCAATGTTTGTCATCATGTCAAATGATAAGCCACTTGTTACTCAATAGTTTCACAAATAAAAGATGAAGCATAACATGATTCATATGCGTTAACTCAAGGTATGACCTAATTAGCATCATATACAAAGTGCTACAAACACGTTTTCACTCTACGACAGTTTATAAAACGTTGGTTTTGGGTTTTCGGTTTTAAAATCGAATTAAACGTGAAACACATTTTTCCCGTCGCAATCGATGTTATTGTAAATTCGTGCTACGTTAATCATACCCTTATCAGTTGAATCAACATCCGATTAGAAACAAGTCAAATAAACTGATAAGATAACATTAAACTGCTCTCATTCCATTCTGCTGTGGTAGTGACGAGTTGAGAGCGATCCCGATTAATTGCACAAGGTGCCCTGAATCGTACAGGTGACCGAAATTTCAATTTGGTTTTGTGTTACAAAGAAGACGAACAATTAACGGCGAGATGGCAGCGAGCAGTATCATGACTGTCGGGAGCATATTCCTGAAAATCTTCAAACTGGTAAGCAGTTCATAATTAATTTTAGTCGCAAATTCCATTTGGACTTCGTGCACGGTCGAATGAGGCGCGCTGATTGCGTGATTCATACGAGTGGGCGCGCCGCGAAGCGTAATTGTTTAATTAGATAGTTTACGTTCATTAAGAAGACCTTATATGCTGTGCGTATACATGATATGCCTAAACAGACTGTCTTCGTTTTGGACTAGGTGTTGAACTTGATCATCCTTGTCTTGTATCGCGTCGGTTTCCATGGAGGTTTCCTGGGCGTTGGCGGCACGTGGAACCTTAACGAGGAGAAGAATCCGGATGCTGAGATAGTTGCATCTGGTGTCTTCGTTGGCTACTTTATTTACACCACCGTGTCGTTAATCAGCTATTGCTTTTCCACAAACGACCACAAACAGTAAGCATCTGCAAGCGTTCGAAACATCGCGCTGAAATTTCAATGAAACGTGTTTCTTTTCAGTTCTTTCACCGATATTCTAATGAACATTATCGGTACTATGATGTGGTTGGCTACTGGTGCAACGGCTCTGCATTATTGGACTGGTTATTTGAGCGAGTACAAGTTTACAGCAACAGCATCTGAGCGACAGGTAAAGAAATAAATATTTCGCGATGTTTCGTAATAATTGGAAACGTTTGTTCACCTGCATGCGAATCAATGTTTCTTATCAATGAAACGCTTTATTTGTCATCAATGTGTAAATAACTTGGGTACCTTTTCAGGTTGGTTTGGCGCTGGGTTCCTTGTGTGTAATTTCGGGAGCTACATATTTGCTCGACAGCGTCCTCAGCGTCATCCACGTCATACGCTCTCACCAAGCCAAGGAAGAGGACGATGAGTAAACCGAGGAAAATCGTTTAGTTAGGACTATATATTTTATACCTAATTCATTACTATCCATTTCAGTGACTAAATTAAAGTATTAAAACGAGTTTTATATTCAAAATTTGCCGCCAACTTTAACGAATTGTTTTTCGAGTAGGCGCTTTTGGAATATTGTTTTTGTATGGTTGCTTAGGAATCGCTTTAATAAAAAGAACGCTACACTTTGTTTACTTGCCAACGCTCCTCACAAATATAAAAAATATTTTCGATCACGTCGCAATTTTACTGATTGAAGCTCCTCAATAAACCCAATTAAAATGGCGATGAAAGTGTCCATGATTCTGCGCATCACTATCATTGTAAGTAAATAAATACCTGCGCATCTAAACTACTTGTAATGATTCACATTACAAATATTTCTGTACCGGCACGAATGCATGCCACATTTACATAATTGTATAGCGCGTCGCGAATGCTATTGCGCGGTAATTCTTGATCGTGTGTTTGTATAGGCGTTGTGTATTGCCACCGTGATAATCCCGTGGGTCTGGAACGCATGTATTCTTGCAATGGAGAGCCTCTCGGCAATGGGGCTCGCAGTAGTAGGCATGGTGGTTGCCATCGGCATTTTGGTGATTAATACTGGCGAGCCGCTGCATTGCAAGATTATTGAGGGATTGATGGGCTGCCTGATGGTGATCGCCGGACTCCTGCAGCTCAGATTCAGCGGCAACGACTGCAACGTCCTCGCCTTGCTGATTTGCCTTTTGGCAGCAGGCGTCATTTTCATTGTTGACATGGTGCTTCTCATTTTGGGCAAGGAGTAAACGGAATAGCATTATTCCTCCATCTGGGCAAGAGGTCTATTCATTGCTATGCATATCTATTCATATCCTCTGCCAATGTTGTTAAATTATTAATGAAACATTTTGACATTTATATATATACATTGAACAAATTTTAATAAACCATTTTGGATAACCTGTGCGTTTTTATGATATTGCCGTAAATTCAGTGGTGCGCGCGCCGCGAGTACTGGTGATGACTCATTAGAAAAACAAAAAACATGCCGGTTGCGTAGGAGCGCGCGTAATTAACCCGATCGTGGCGAAGGGTTAAACGAATCAAATTGAATTTATTTAAGAGACCGCCTCAGAACGGGACGCGCGTATAGTACGAGACATCCGCGCTCGGTGCAACAAGTGTCTAAGTCAAGCTGGATTTCTACGACGTGCCAAAGCGCATCTCCGCAATGTCCGCCGAAGTGGAGAAAGGCAATAATGAAGAGACCAACGGCCAGACCAATGGTGCCACCGACGTCATCAGCACCACCATTGAGAAACCCCGTAAACCGTTGAAGCAACTCTTGTTGGACAACTGGCAGATCATCATCAAGTTAATCGAGTTGGTAAGCAAATTATTACACTTCTTGTACTTGCCCAAAGTGAAAAATAATAAATAATAAAATAATAATAAACTGTCTGTATACAGTTGCTGTGCATTGCGGCACTGGTCTTCGTATGTGAACCAGCAAAAGTTACTGGTCTTGGCTCCAGCCACATGCACCACATCGGAATTATGTACACCGCGTATACCGGATACATCCTGATCATCTCTGTGTTGTTGCTGGGACGTTACATGGGGACCGGCTGCCGTACAAGACCTCGATGATCTTCTCCGTTTGCGGTGCGTCCATCTTCTTAATCACCGCCACCTTGTTGATATCGACACGATCACACCTGACACGTATGCACATCTTCCATCCGAACGCCTACCTCATGGTCATGCTGATGACCTCGATCATTATCGCTTTCATAAACGCTATCGTCTTCGTGATCGATGCTGTGCTGACGTTCCGCCGTCAAGAGTCACTCTGAATGTCGCACCCATCGATTACGGTGTTACGTAAGCACACGTGATACTTCACCAGCAAATAGAATACTCGTACACATCATTAATCGTGTTTCGACGCAAATCGAACGCAAATAATGAAAACCTATGTCAGTGAAATCCGTCCAGTTGGCTTAGAAATAAAAGTTGTTGATTGTACGTAACCATGGTAACCGTCACGAACTGTCAGCAGAAATAATTGTTTGTAAAATAAAGCAGGCGCTACGGCGCCAATAAATTGCCCAAATATTTCGTAGTACAGAATCTACGAATAGCCAATTTTGTTCCGTGTTATAGTAGATTGTGCAATGGTTTATCGTTCACAACTGGTAAGTAAATAATAATATAAAATATTAACAATATATTTCAAATTCCAGGCTGTTTCCTATCTCGGCGAATGTTTAACTCTTTAAAACTGTATTTACAAATGCAATAGGAATTAACATCTCAACATTTTGATTCTTACTATTAATAGAGCAATGTGCTTAGTCATCATGTTGCAAACATTGCAAATGTTCCACATTAAAATGCCACTATCATTCAAACTGATTAAGTTCCAGCTTGTGATCAACTGGGCTTTTGGCATTCTGAATATTGTAATGTTTTGGTGAGGAGCCCAATTTGCACAGCACCAAATTAACATTTTCTCTTGATCCTCGTCTTCTGTCTACTTGGTTCCATCTATAATGGTTGCCCAAGAACTCATGATATATCGGTCCAAACCATTAACCCTTATCGTAATAGTGTATGTGAAGTGAGCAAAAATATGGTTAAGAACATAAACGATAAGGTATAAGGGCCTAATTTTGAAAAATGTCATCAAACCGCGCGCAAGTTAACGACAAATTCCAATTGAGTCCGAAACCAAGTCCAATGAAGCAAAGAAAATACGCAAAAGCGAAATCACATTGATAGTGAAAGAAACATAAAAGAATGAAACCATCGCCACTATCTCATACGGTGGAACTTTTCATGTGTCGAAAACTACTCTTTTGCCGAGTCCGATTATCACTACCCGCGATAAATCCAGCGAAAGTAGTGATAATAATTTCATGTGCCTCCTTAAGTTGCTTAATAATCGTTTTATTTACATATCTTCGGAACTAATGCATTAAAATAAACTTTGTTTAATTGCATGTTTTAAAATTCAACATAGGCAACTCAATTACCTTCTCATGCATGTGAAATTGGTCATGACTTTTATTTTATGATATGGTACCAAAGTGACCAAAGATTTAGAGTGCGAAATAGTTTCTGCCATTTCGTATTTTTAATTCCTTCATTGAAAACTCCTGTACGATTACTTTCTGTTATTCATGTACGGCCACATTTGAACATTTGCTATACAAATGGAAATGGTATTCACCTTTTCCCTGAACCTTGTTTCTTCTTTCTTTTTCTTCTTTCTCTTATTCTAGGAGTCCCTGTTCCTACTTCGCTATAGCCTGCTTGGTGGATCGCTCCGCCATTTTCGAGGCCTACCCACGCTTCTACTACCTACTGGTGAATTATCCCGCGCAATTTTAACCGTTCTTGTAGTGTGCATCCTGTCGATGTGCTCTTTCTATAATGCCCTTCTCACTTGTATCCATTCATTAATTGGTTCTGTGTTACATGCTTGCCTTAAGTCCACCCTTCTGACTTTGTCTCTTAACGACTTGTTCTTCATCGCCCGCATAACTGCCATTTCCGCAGTTTCCATATCCCGCTTTCCGCAACCGCACGCGTTTCCGCCGAATATGTCGCGATGGGTCTTATCGTTGCTTTGTATATTCGTCCCTTTGTTTCCAAACGCAGGTGTTTGCAAGCGAAAATGGTAGTTCTCAGGGATCTAGCAATTCTGGTTGCTTTCTGTGCTTGATTTCGAACGCTGTCCTCTACCTGCCCAGGTAGGTAATTCTCACGGTCTGTTGTATGATTTTCCCGTCTAGTTCTAATTTGCAACGAATTGGACCCTTTGAGATAGTCATACATTGTGTCTTCTTTGCTGATATGCTCATGTTAAATTGTATCGCAGTCTTATTAAAAGTTTCTTTTTAATATGTTGAAATTGAAAATACATTGAATGATTAAAGTTTTGTACTCTATACGGTGCAATAGCTATTGTAAAGTAGTTCTATAGCAGGGGCGTAGCTACCGCCGTATTTGCCGTATCAATTATACGGGCCACGGGGCCCCAAAGTGTGTAAGGAAAAACCTTTACCTCCATATAAGGGCCTCCAAAAATTTTTTATACGGGGCCCCGACAAGGCACGCTACGCCACTGTTCTATAGTAATAATTTATTCTTATAATTGTCTTACTGGGCAACATCTGTTTGAAATACTTTTTGTAGCAACTCATTCCAAGAGACCATGTTCAACACCAGTGCTGATTTATAATTTGTAGGCATGCCCTCTGCACTACCCAAATCGAACACCTGAGAGGAAACAAAATGGACAAACACACTCAATTCACGGCGCAATACTTAAATCCCTCAAAGAAAACTGCACAATCTTGTAGATAATAAATAAAAACTTAAGCTCAAAACAGCTCAAAAACAAAATCAAAGTTAGTTATTGAAGATGCCCTCGAGGCGTGGGATATAAGCTTTTGAATTTGAAGCAAATCGAAGTTCGGAAGAAAAAGTTCTAGCCACCTGACATAGCAATTTTTAAAAATTTGATCGGTTTTGGATGGCTATAACTTTACTTAATAGAAGCATTCAAGCAAAACTGCATAGATTCTATTAAAATATACCCTAATAGAAGACATCGGCTTGTCGACCCTTAACGTCAAACACGTAACGTACATAAATATACAAGTGTTTTACAAATAGGTAAAATTTTATCAAAACAATTCGTTACTTAGGGGCGGTTACTTAAACCCAATTTAAGTTTAGACCTAATATCTATTTTTCTTAAAAGTAGAAAGTTTACTAAGAAGAATGCCGTTTGGTAGGCGTCTCTAAGTTGTATAGAAGCTAAGATATAAATGATTGAAAATCAGTGAAAAAACACTTTTTAAATTAAAAAGACCGTCTTCTTAAAAGGTGTTCTTTTGAGAAAAAATCGGCCTCAAAATAGCTGACCTAAGTGCGCAAACTTTCGTCGAGAATTAATGGATCTGCCCATATATATACTAACTTACTCGTACGCTCATTTTAACTATACAAGAGTCTTTTGGCATGGAACGCAACAACAAAAATTGTAATTCACATTACGTCGAAATAAATAGAATATTAGAAAAATTGAAACAGAACAGCATTTTTGACGGGCATTTCATGGTATTTGCTGTATGTGTGCATGCATTACTTCAGCATAATTATAAAATCCCATCATGCCTTGAACAAGTTCACAAAACAAAATTTCTTATTGCCATGGGCACAAAACAAATTAATTGACACTAACAACAAAAATGCCGTCAAAAGTAGAAAAATTTTCGTGCTGTTTGCTCCAAATTTTCAGTTGTTAAATCGATTTTAAATAAAGTAAAATCTGTGAATTTGTACAGTGCTCTTGTTATTCTATACCATGGGAATAACCAAAGAAGAGTATTACTCAAAATCTGCGCGGAATGGGTTAATCCCAACTCAACCCCATAAAGGTACTCGATTAGTGCACAATAAATACAAATACATAATTTATTTTCTTTCACAGACGCTTCAACGTACGTCAAATTGCAGACATTTGATAGAGAACAATCTGATTTCGACGGATATTTTGCATTCACACACAAGGACTCCACAACGAACACAGCCAATGAAGATTTCCTAACTGAATCTAAGAGTGTTGCTACGGATGAGTACAATATAGGTCCCATAACCCCATTATCAAATGATAGCGAATCCATGCAATTAGTTGAAAATATATGCAGCAATGACAATGTACAGTAAGTATATTATAATGCATTATAGGGAAACATTAATGAACATTTGGAGTATATTCCAGAAAACTAAACTTAAGCACAGGCAGTAGTGACACCATGACTGAAAGCGGCAGTGAGTCGGGCTCACCAACAAGACGACCTGTTTGGTGCGGAGGAAAACGTAATCGTCTCTCGCGAAACAAAGGTCCGACCGCTTCCAGGGGCAGGCTTAATCTTCATTATGATTTACTTCTGGCATTGAGGACTGAGGTGACCCACTTGACAAAGCACCTCCTTGCCACAAGAAACAGACGTTCTTCGACGGATATATGCACCGCGGTATTCGTTGACTTAGATGCAATATCCGATGTTGTTCAGGGATTCCTAGATTACAAAAGTAATACCAGCTTAATGACCAAATCGATGCTAGAGACGGATAATCCACACAGCGATGTTAAGCTACAACCATCGAATAAAAAGAAACGGAAAAGAACTAGTGCTTCTGCGAATGAAATTGGAAATTTTAGACAATTTAGGAAAAACCGTAAAGAAGTCACTAAACTGGCAACACGTTCAAAAAGTAAATATTTGATAAATTAATTCTTATATTAATATTTAACTCCGTTTCAGAAATTAGTAGTGGCCCTAATAAATCTCCAAAACTCAAAATAAGATCAAAAACAATGAAATTAGAACCTCTGGTTGCGGATACAATTGAAGTAGAAATATGTCAACACACAACTCTTATACCCCTGCATATTCCGAAACAGCTGCAAACTTCACAACGTACGTACCCAATAATCTACATCCATTGGACCTGGAATGTATCCCTTGTTCGGTTTCTGAAGAGTCTACATTTTCTGTGATCAAGATCAAAATCAGCAGTATTGGCACGTTTACGAAATGCGTAATTATAAGCGGGTCATGCCGCCAAATCGGTCCGGTGGTCAAAATACCCGTGAAGGTTGTAGGCAACACATCGTAGATACTACTCTTGATTCATTCGTAATACCATGCTCAGAATTGGGCAGTTGTTCCCAGGACTGCATTAAAGCAACTTCAGCGCAAATACGGGAGATTGAGCCTCTAACGACTCAATCGGACATCACTGTTGATCTCATAGACTCTAACCTAAGTGATCGTGCCTCGTTAGTTTCTGACACTATGGGAAGAATTGAAATTGCAATAGTACCGATCATCTGGATGATCTATCTGAAGAAGCTAAAACGATGCTGCTTAAGAAACGTAAATGTTCATTCTACAGTCCAAAACCAGTCAAAAGCCGGGAGATATGTGGTTTATCAGTACAGAGTGACGTTGAAGATTATTCAAACAGATTTCTTCCACGCCCAAGCGAGCAAAGTTCAAATCATGAGTGGGAAGACGAATCACCGTCAAGTTTTTCGAATTTGAGTAATATGCCACCTTCAAGCGAATCAATAACAAATGATAATAGTGACGATACGTCGTCACCTAGTTCAGAAGAAAACTCAACAGAATATACAATAGAACAAAAAGAGCTTCCATGCATTTTAGGGGAATGAGAGATGTCATTCATAATTCAAGCAATCGTGATGTTAAAACCGAAATCCGTTCCAGTCCTACAGTGAATTACCTAGCATCTCTTCGAGTAATCTATGTAACAAAGACAGTTTGATTCAAATAGCTGGATTGAATAAAACGACAAAACAGCAACATCAAAAACACCAAACAATGTCCAGTTCCCTGAGTATCGGAAGTAGAAAGCGAAAGTACACTGAAGATAAATTTGAGTCCCGGTTAAGAGAAACTAAATATGTGTACCAAGATATGGACAAATGTGGTTCTACAAATTATATGGATTTTCTTAACAGGTTTATGAAAAGTATCAACCTAAATCAGGATAGTGAAAAGGAAATCTTAATAGAAACATACATTCCTATTACAGTCCTACCTACCGAAAATCTAGAACAATCAAACAGAGAAGAAAAAGCCAAAAAAAAGCAACCAGGTCAAATGTATCAAAGAAAAATGTGAGACCACGTACTAAACATGAAGCTTCAGGAATAATCCAAAACAGCAAGATACAAACCCACCGCAAACTTTTACAGGTTTGCGTCCAATCGGAAAAACTAAAAATTCGAAACATCTTCAAAGAAAACTCCTATGCCGTTGCCCGATAATAAGGTAAGAAACCCGGAATATCATCGGCCCTCAGGTTATTACTCGAAACCAAATGAAAAAGCATCGCAAAACCAAATTCAAATGCCGTGTATGCAGCTGACAAAAGTAAGAAAGTTACTAAACCTCAGAACAAAAATCAGAAAGATTAGCACCAAATCTTAAAAAGGTAATGATTCCAGTCCAGCGAGTTTAAAACATTCCTGTAACCACAAGAAAGATAAAAAGCAGACCTCAGCTGCACATGACAACGCTTATCAGCACCCTCCCATAAAACACTATAGGATTGAAACATCGAATGCTTTAAATCCTCTAAGAAACACGACTAAGCAAGATGAAATTCCCCGAACTTCCAAAAAGTCTTCAGGAAAACAATCACGAGATTTATCTTCCACTATAAAGAATCCTCCAAAAAAGTTATAAATTTTGATGGAGATACTGAAACGAAAATTATTCATAGGACTAAACGACAAAGTGATAAAACACAAAAATTGCGAAAGAGTTGTAAGAAAAATAAAATATCGAAAAATGCAAAACTAACAGTTGCAAGTTCATTAAGTAATGTATCGATGGAAAATACATCAGTTTTAAGTGCAGTAAGTGGAGGAGAGCTTAAATGTAACATTTCAAAGAAAGAATGTTATCATGGCATAAAGAAGAAACGCGTATCACTCTCTAAGCGTAAGAAATATATTCTTAGTAGAGGTAGAAAAACCCGTAGCCAAGCAGACACAACCCCTCGCAGATCCAAGTTACGTCAAAATCATGTAAAACCAACTCAAGAAACTTAAAACGTACCTGTAAGGCCTCCCTGAAAACACGGAAAAAGAATAGTCGTAACATTATGAAACCAAGGAGGCGAATTGCCCGAACAAGGTCTTTGGATTTTATTACCGAAGCAGAGGAGCTAATATCTGCAATGTCAGCTTTAGAATCATACGCCCAACAAAGAGATTATGCATACGCATTTTCTGATTCCACCGAATATATCCACCAGTACCGACCTGGTTTCGGCGAAATTGATTTCGTAACTAATCCTGACGAGAGTTGGGACGACCTGACAACTGATGACGAGTGTCATATTCAATAGCTGCTTTTGTACTTTCATATGATTCCCGTGCCAATCTACTGGTTGCCATTATATTTACTATAGCATTGAAATATCTACTGTTACTGCTACGGAGACAATCATTTTGCTCTAGAATCAAATAGTCAAATATCACCTTTCATATATTCAAAATTCAGAGTAACAAAATTAAAAATAATTTAGACAATCGAACCATGCGAATTAATAAATTTAAAATAAACCTTTTACTCTGCAATAAAACAACCAAACATTTCAATGACGTATTTATTTCGCATAATTTACATTTAATCGAATAACATAAACGTGAAAATTAATTAACACGGGTGAAGCCACACATTACTTTGTCGATCGATAGTCCGACGGTAAAAATTTGCATTAATAAACGTATAATTAGTTATCAGTGCGTTGAAGTAAAAGTGAATGTCTCAACGATATTTGAAGCATTGTATGCCTGAATCAACAAAATTTGCACGTTTACAGTCGTAAAACAACGTAGATGCTTATCCAGCTCTTTTCGGCAGGGCGAAATTAACGACTTTTGCAACTTTTACTTTATACTTATCGCAGCGATGAAATTTTATAAGTGTTTTATGTCGAGAAAACAAATTTATATACTGCAGAGTTTATATAGTTGCCTAATGTTGCGGACGACCTTGTTGCGCATATGATGCCAATTTAGTTATGTGATATGAATAAATCCCCAAGAGAAACAATTAGCCTCGAATATAAATACAACAAATAAAAACGCCACTTACCTTTTCGGCTTTGGCCAAATTCACCCACAGTTGTCTCCACGTAGAGAACTTCTTCTGATCACTGAAGTTGTACTGCATTTCCTTGGAGGCATAGCGAGTGCTTAACGGGGAACGGTAATTGCAGAATTCAGCGTTGTCGACTTGTTGAGCCATTTTGCTATCAAAGCCGTGAAAAACGAGACCTGTGAACGTGGTGTTGAAATATAAGAGAAAACGTTCGCACGTTGCTCGCGTGACCGCCCGAATATGAATAGGTTAGACTCGCGCTTCGATTTCGTTACTAACTGACACCGTGATAGCAAGTTCAGAACTTTTGAACTTTAGTATTACGAAGGAACTAGAGTTATGCCATATCTCACGTCATATCTAGATTAATATTTACGTAAGGAATTATTTTGTCCTTCTTGGTACGATTTGATTAATATAAATTTATATATTTTCTGCTTGCTTTGGCACTTTTCAGGACTATGTGAAGTCTCGATATAAAGATCTTCAGACAAGTGGATCTTGCTCCCAAATGTGATTTCCTAAAAACATAAATTTGTAGCTACTGTATATGCCGAAGGCGCTGATGATGGCGTCAAATATGAAAAAAGTGCAACTGGTTAATAAACATAGACCGAATTGCGTGGTGACGATCGCAGAATAAATGAGATGTTGTCACTGTTAGATCTTCTTGACTATTCTACATAAGATATATAAATTTTCCATAGGTATAAGTTATACCTATTTTAACTCAGGTTAAATCGAGTTTTGTTTTTCCGAGTTGGCACATCACTAGGTATAACTACATAAACGTTACTAATATACACACTCCTAAAACGCTGTTGTGCTTTGCCCAGCTTGACTTTGATTATGACTCACACAATTACCAAATCTATTATTAAGGTATTTGATTTGTTTAAGTTTTAAGAAGTTTGCGACGAATTATGACATTTAATGTTTAAACTCGATGTTTAACAAGAGGCACGGACTCAAATAACATCATGTTAACTAGGAATAAATTTAAACTCTATGTGGTTGTCAAATCTTGGCGACAACAATAAAACGCAGAAAAACGTGAGAGAAACGCGAGTATAATCTAAGAAAAGAATTAAAAACGCATGGGAAATCGTTGTCGACGACGTTGTCTTTGTGCTCCTGCACTCTTGCGGCTTCGTCGAGAACATCGTCATCAGGCCGTGGAACGGACGTTCATGTCAAGGCCGCTCCGACAAATGTGCGAAGAACAAGATTCCAAAACGTGAAAACATTTGTATTGTTATGTAAACTTATGATTTACGTAGGTACGCATGGTCAAGATTGTAAAACTAAACAATTCAACGCTACGACACGAGAAAAAGTGTTTTTACGTTTGCAATTTAAGATTTAAGTTGTTACCTCTTGCACTGAGATAAGAACCGGATAAACATCACATATGATTGCAAGAAACTTCCTATATGGAAGTGCAATACACGAATTTCATTTCTTTGTTATACAATTTGAATAATGCAATTAAGCAATGTTCATAAACTTGTATATTATTCACAATCGCATTTTTGATAATGTATTTTCAGTATGCACCTCAATCTTTTATAATGTTACAGTAAATAACTCACTAAATACGTCAAAATGTTTGTGATATAATTTAACCGATGATAAAATAATTTGCAGTTTGACTTTGGCTAGATCTAAGTTACTTCGATACAGTATCAACTATAAACATATTCGTTACGTATATAATTTATTGCTGAGGTCATACGGGTCGAACACGCAAACAAAACAAAGTAACTAACACTGCACCAGTAATTTACAGTAGTTTAGAGTCAGTCAAAAACACAAATTAATTTTTAAACGAAAATGTAAGTTTAGTTGACCGATTTCGTTTTTGTTTTGCGTCAAACGTTTAAAAATGTGTACAATGTACGCGTACTAAGAGCATAAATTTGTTGAAATGTGTAACAAACATGAACGTGCTGGTCTATGGAATGATGCAATGCCGTGAAATTGGTCTATTTGTTACTACAGCACACTCATATCTACAGGTAATATTTTAAAAACACAGGAACATAAGCTGGCAGTCAGCAAGCATTTATTTGCAACACTTGTGTATCTTCAGGTGTGTTCTGCTCTAAACGGCGGCACTAGTGATCGTCTTTTTAAATAATTCATACGTTTATATTTTGTAATTGGTAGTCATTTAAAATTATGATAAATTATGTATTACACATACGCTGGACGACGCACAATTGTTTGTATTTTGCCGCTCTTGGAACCGGCGCATGTGTAATAAAAATTATTGCAACAAAACAAACAAAAATTGTGCAGACACACGACTTGACTGGAATAAATACCATGAGTTTAAAGACAAAATAACTAGAGCGCTCCTGAAAAAAGAACGTGCGCATGCACATGAAATGAAGAAAATTATCAGAGAATTCCAAGAATTGTGCGCTGGAAATTATCGGGCAGTCACCTGTGCAAAGAACTGATAGTATTGTTGGAACAATACTGTCGTGACACTAATGAACACTAATGAACTGTAATACTCCATTAAGTTGAAACAATATTTTCGCTGTTGGGTTTGTGTTTCACTGATTTTGTCGTTTGCTACGACTCCATCTATCAAAGTCCTCCTGAGTCGCCTCTCCGTTGACACCAATTAAAAGTCAGTCTATTTGGTTTGATTTGAACCTGTTTCATGCATAAATGTAATTAATGAAAGTGCAATTAATTTAATTGCCAATTGCTCAATAGCGTAATTGCGACAATTTGCGGGTCATATCAACCTGATTGCATTGGTCACAGTGTCGCACTGTCAAAGGTGTTCGCGTGTCCTCAAGTACGGTCTTTTAGCCCTCGTATATCGCCTCCACGACATCCACTTAATTTTTACGCAAATCGAATGCGCGCCGGTTAATTTTTCGTCGCCTGTTACGTGATGCTCATTCAAGGTTTTTGCTTTGAAGTCGTAATCGTTGAATTGCATCACATATGCTGAGCTTCCAAATATTTCTTGTACACGCGTTTATCTTTCGATTGTTCTTTGTACTGAATCAAGTAAAGTAAACAGAGGAAGGTTTTGTTCAAATTACCCGTATTTAAAGGTTTAACGTTGTGCAATTTTTTTTTGTAATTTTAGTATCCAAAATGTTAATACATTCAAATATTGTGTATGAAGGGTGAAAATCGCTTCTTTAGACTTGGAACTAGCACAATAGTAAAAAAAATCATAAATCCGAGTTATTCAAAGGTTGTTATTGAAAACATTAAAAATGTTTATATTTCTTGCGTGAAAGTAAATAAATCGTTTTATCGCACAAGATAAAATCGTAAATCGTATAAACTTACGCAGATATTGCAATTTTCTCGCACACATTTTTTTACAAAAACAACATGAATTAGTTTCAAATAATAATAGCTTCAAAGTACTGTTAACAAATGATTACATGATTAAGGGTGTGGTTGCTGGAAGGAGCGTTTATGTGTTTTCCTGCACCTAGACGACCTAGACGGCGAGCAGACGAAGAAAAGCAAACGCATCATTCCGACAGGTGGGAGACATTATATGAGGATGCAGGTAGATTCGACATGCGCCAGTCGATACCGCCGCGCCAGCCGTACGGTCGTCCAAGTGCTCACCTCTTTTGCACGCCGAAGAAGTCATCGCCGTCACGAGTGGTGGTGGGAACCCGCGCGGCGAAGAAATTCATGAAGCGACGGTGCGTTCGCGGCGCCTGCTTTGCGCACGAGAAATGTGAACTTTCCATTTCTTTTTGCGCCGCACGTTCCTCACGAAATTACAGTGTTCATAACATTACATTCGCGTATATCATCCGCCTTTCAAGCATCGATAACGGCAATTGACAATCATTGTCATCAAAATATTTGCTATTCAACTCCAGTCGGATTAATTTGAACAAATTCGTCCGGTAAGTAATTGTAATAATTTCTATTTATTTTATGAAATTTGTTTTGAAAGAAACAATTGATTGTCATCTAATTAATATTAATGGTTTGATTGTTTTGTTTTGAAACTTTTAGCGTTTAAAAATTAAAAATAAATACACACGTGAAAAATGGAGAATAATGAAGTGATCTAACCGATTCATGATTCCCAGTATTGTTAATTGTCATGCATGCGAATTATTGTTTATTTTCTAATGACAGCTCGTAAATGTATCACTTTCGATTGATGGACTGGAGGTATGTTGCATCCAAAATTGAATGAATTAAAATCGGGCATGGATGGTTTCGCTCAACAATAACTAGAAATTAAGTTGAGCCGAGCGATGCATGACAACCGGCGACAACTATCGTCCTTTAGCGCCGCAATCGTCGCATGAAAATGATTTAACATTTTCTCCTTTTGTGACGAAATGAAAAGTGAACAACTAATTCGCTTAATGTCAGTCGTTGCGACGTAACAACGATAACTGACACTCATTAAGCCATTGCTCCACTCGACTAACTTTAACTTACGTTCATAATAAGCACGCACGACAATTTTTGTGAACAAAACGTTTATTTCACGAACAATTGTCGTTTCTAGTACTGGTTGCCGCGAAGCAAGCATTGATTTATTTTTCTTTGTCTTTGTTTCATGATGCAAAATGTGCTAAAAAGTTGGCGAGCGTCACAATTTTACATCATTTCTGTAAATCACTTCATTGTTTTCCCGAATGAATGATTTCATTTTGTTTGATTATAGGTGTACGCGCAATTACCACACCCAAATCAACTAATAGCTTATGTTTATACGCCTTGCTTTGTTTTGATTGAAATCAACTGTTTTGTTACAGAAGGATATTTGAAAATCGCTGACGAAGTTAATTCGATTTGACCTTTGGAGCAATCAAACTAATGATCTAATATAATTTGCGTGCGAAATAAGCCATTATATCATAATCGTGTACGCAACCATCAAACTTTAAACAATTAACAATAAAAAGCTTCGAGTGCCCAAAAACGTAAACAATAAATTAAAATGATGTAAGAATCAAAGCTATAACCTCACTTATAAACTATTTTTGGTCGTGATCAGTTCAACAATACGTAAGTGAACTTAAAGTGCACAAAAATGGGACTTAAGTTCGACAAGTGGAGTTTATTGAAGATTTTCGAAGTGGTAAGTGTTATAATTTCTAAGGTATGAAGTTTTAGACAGCTTAAGTGTAGTTTAATAAGCGAATAATTAAAAGTAATTACGCTGTGAAACTATGCAAACGCGCCGCTCTGAATCAATTGAATTTCATCTAGATCTAAGTGGCTGCAACTTAGTACTCAACTTACTTTACGCATCCACCTGCAAACCAGCGCTACCTGCTATTTAACATGTTAAAAGTTGAGCAAAGGAGTGAGTGCTGGTTCAACTAAATATGCACACAGCCGACACGATTTTCTACCAACGCGGCATCAATTTCCTTCTACGCAAATCATTATTCCATTAATTTTAATCCGCTAGCGGCGATTAAGCGATGTAACTATTTAGCGCGTGCTCAGATGCACTCGAGATACACCTCTCAACCTATATATTCATAATTCCGACATTCTTCACACTTTTCATTGAGTATTATTAACGCCTGCAATCATCGAAAGCGGGTGCGCTCGCGTGTCCATCATGGCGGCAGGTAACACCCAGTGGTAACGCGGTGTTGCTATGATAGGTTTATGATAGCGCAGGTCGATTTCATTGTTCGCGTGTTTGCATAAAATGTATAACAATGCGCGCCAATCTGTGCAGAACACTGCACGCATTTACTCTCTGCGTGTCACTATGTATGTGTTCTATGTTGTTTTATTTATTGTCGTGGTCGCGTTCAATGTTACCAGTAGAGCGTGCAGAATCGCGCGTATTGTTCTCGACTTTACGCCGAACACAGAAAACGCTACAGATTAGCTATAATCAGATATCATCAGAAGATTACTAAAATCACCTGATGCATTTACCCAAATTTAAAAATACATGATTTTTGCTATATTTTGTGTTAAGTCTTTATAAAAGTTACAAATTGATTAATTGAGAAAACCTACTTTTTCAAATTGCTACTCAAATTGTACGCCTTATTTGGAGTAGACAAAGTACTGCCATATCGGAATAATGCAACTTACTCTAATTTCTAAAATGATTAGACAAACAAATTATAGAGCGTTAGTGCTCATTATTTTAATGTTCAGTTCAACATTAATGTTGATTTTGTCAAATAACTAATAGTTCTTCATTTCTACCGAAATTATTGTGTTAGCCTACCTAGCTCCATCGACTTTATATTGTAGAAATGAAATCACCTTCATCTACATGTTTTTTCCGGCTGAAAAGTTTGTATATTTCTATTATTACAAGTTATGTAATAAATCAATGCAATCAATTGATTGCACATCGCAAAACATTGAAAACAGTTGTTACATGCGATGGTATTATATTGTATTGACAAGCAACATTATTAGTCACCTATCTCTCAATTAAATTATGCAAGGTTGAGCCGTACAATTGCACACTGCATACACAACATTCAACAACTGAAATTCAAACTGTGAAACGAGCGTAATAGAAAAAGGAAATTTATTTGCGTTGCAGTTTCACGTGATACTCATGCATTCACTTAATAGTTATACCAGTGTTCGACCACAATAATAATACTTAGATTACTCGCACAATTCCGCAGAATACCATGTGTGATTAATTAGCTTTTCTATTTTGGACATTAATTAATTAAGCAATAAACATAAATCACCTGACGTGTGAGGTTCAGTCGAAAAAATAATTTCAGTAATTAAATCTTAATAATTTATTACACTAAATTGTAATTAAAAGCTTTAAATTAACACAACTAAAATGATTTAATTATAGCAGATCAATCAGTCATGTCTTTTCTAGTCCGAAATTGTTCGAAGAGTCAGATGTTTGATGCACGAAAGAATCGAGAAATTATAGAATTTGTAGTTCGGTAATAAATTTCGCCTGCGAGCTACTAAATTATGATCAACTAACTGTACAGTGTTCGAACATCCACAAAATATGTATCATTAATCCGCTCATTAAATTAGTTTTCGTTTGATATGCCTTTTTCCCTTTTTGGTTTCATTATAGGTGCATATATGAATATAAATATCGAATAACTTTCTAAAGATTTGCACAAATATTAACATAAATATTAATTAGGCAAAGAAATAATTTAAAAGTATTTTTTTCATAAGTCGGCAATCAAATCCGAATTGATACAAGTTTACTACAAAATGAATTATTGCGGATTGACTTTGAAACATCATTTTATGTTAAATAATTGTATTAATAATTGAAATTGAACCTTTTTACAACAAGACTGAAACTATATCACATGGAATTTTTAATAAACTTTGCCCATCTGTTCATAAAACTTTTACTTTACACCTTATATGGTACTCTTGTTAAATTTTTATAAATGCGAATCTGTTTCTAAAATCAGTCTAGTTACTAAGGTATTGAAATATACTATTAATGTTGTTTAAAAAAATTAGATGCTAAAGAAATATAGCCAAAAGACCTCATCAGGTGTAGTACAAACGTCTGGGCTCAAATCCTCGATGTTTTTCTTTTATCTAGCGGTGTTATGCAACATGCTGTTCGTTTGTTTATAATTGGCACAGAATTGTTGTGGTTTTGATGCCTCGGCGAAGCTGCGCGATGGCTATTCAGTTGTTATTTCCGTTCGACAAGCCCCAGGTAGAGACGCTCGACGCGCCGCAGAACCGGCTTTAATGTGAGCCACCGCGAATGAGTTTAATTAACAGTTTAGCATTGGCACGAATCACACGATAGTTAATAACACAGTCATAAAGTTTAACTATGTCGCGCAGTTTGCCTTTTGATTGCCGTGAGGTGCTTCAACACCTCAGGCATTTCGTTTTCTTAAGACAAGTACATGAAGAAATTGTTTGAATGTTAAGAAATTAGGAAAATGCGCGGAAAATTATTTCTCACTTGCAAACTTTCAGAGATATTACGTTTGGTTTTGTTTCGGATTTTCTCACAAATTGATGAAGAACATGAGATCCGTTAATGTACAAAACCAACAATCGACTGTGCACTTCTCAAACAATTCACTTTCGCTTTTTACAACTAATTTTTGTTTCTCATTGATCATAATATCATGCCTTATAAAGTAATTGTGATGAAAACATACGACAAGGGTGGCAAACATGGTAATGTAAAACTTTCTTCGGGCGTGATGACATGAGAGAGTCGTTGTGCAGATTTTTGCGCAATGATGACAGCCTAATGATGCTTCGTCAGATCTATATCGCAATTGCATTGTTCTGCTTTCATCTCTGCAGGCGTTTGCGACTTCCTGCTTGATTACGAAACGCGTCACCGATGACGAGGCGCAGCGTCTCTTCTTGTATCTGCAGAAGCTATCACGCGAATGGAGTCTCCTGAATAATGTCACCTGGGACCGCATCGGATCAGCTGTCGCGGACGCTACTTACGGTGGCTACGTGATTATTACCTCTGCATTGTTAATCGGACGATTGATCGGTGAATTGCCGACTGAGAAGAGAGTGACGGAAATGGTACTCCTGGGATTGGGTGCTTTGCTATTTGTTATACTAGGTTTGTGTGGTTATATAATACGATTAATTGCTGATGATTTTGTTTATTGATTTTTGTAGGAAGTCTGGAATTCGCGGCGTTAGACTCGGTACCTCCAGACCTAATCGATAACGCCGCCATTTTGGGTACCTTGTCGCTAACTACCGCAGCACTGTTCCTCTTGGACCTGGCTGGTCCCCGAGCGAAGAAACCTACGCTACAAACTCAACCAAAAGCATCACACGTGCCTTAGAAGTCCACAAAATGCAAAAGACCAGAGAACCATTCAGTTTAGAACCGGAATTTGCACGGATAGAAAACGCTCGCATGGAGAATGAACGTAATGGGAAACTTAGTGATGATAAAACCAGAAGCTCAATGGTAAAACTGATAAACACAAATTCGATGTGTATCCTCATGTGGAACATGACCATGGTAAAGATCACGTGGACAGTTTTGAGAAGGTTAATACCAAAGTGGAGGAACATTCGCCTGTTTGGAGCAAAATTCAAAAAGGTAACATTTTCTCCCTATTTGTTTTGGGTTCTATTTAAGAAAATTGTTTAGGGCAATATGGCAAATACAGCGACATAGTTACTCCAAATTACTTGTATCCTCAACATGCAAAGGATTACAAAAAGGATTACAAAATGGAAGAACGTGAGCGTGAGCGAGAAAGGACGCCGAGTACTCCCGGTGAACCAGGATACGTACAATACACTGCCAAGCGCTGGGGGCAGCCCATTAATGGGCATTCGAAAGGAGTTGGGCAGATTCCAACCCAAGTATAAATTTAACATTAACATATTTATGGCATCTTAGTATACAATCTTTTACGAATTTTCTATGTTTATACTTCACTTTTTATTTTAACTATAGTTTAGTTTTAAAAAATGTTTATTTGTATTGTGGGGAATAATTTGAATGTATGCAGTGATTGAAAGCTGTAAAACGTGGTCGGAAACAAATGAGATATATTACAGTATATTACCAATAATCAATTAAGTAATAAATTCATGCCAAAATTATTCTTAAAACTTTTTATCTTTATCAAGCAGGCCACACTATCGTTTCTAAGATTTTGTTCGTAGTGTCACCTCGACAACGCATTTATCAACAGTTGATAAATTCGTAAAATTGCGGTGTTTCACGCACAGATATTCGCAGTGCGTCGGTAAACATGGGTCGCTTCTTTGAGATCCGATACGCTGAGGTTAGTAATCAAAAGGCTCTCCAAAATAAACATCGGTAATTGAATTACATACGATTTACAGTTGCGCTGCCGAAAATGTAAGAAAACGTTCTGCTGTAAAGATTGTCGGCTCAAGCACGAACAGAAAATCCATTTCATTGATCCGGAGTGCCACGTATGCGTCTACGGCAAGATCTCGTTCTCATCCGCGCGGGCCTCCACCCAAATGTTGCAGCATCTTCAGATGCACCACTGGCCGATGCACTGTGTAAAGTGTGGTCTAAAATCAACACTGCGGAGGATATGGGACGACACTCTTCCAAATGTCCAGGTATGGCAACAGTCGTCGTGGACGAAAAGCAAGCCCAGTATCTTTCACCAGAGTTGATGGGTAATAAGGCTAAGTTCGAGAGCGTGTTGGCGATGACCAGCACCCCGATGGCCAACAATCAAATGGGCATTAAAGTCCCTGATGATATAACTCCTGTGGATTCGGATCGCGCTGCACCACAGATGGAAAGGATCACCAAGAGTGAAAAGAAAGTCACATTTCTGACTACCCCCGCGCTGGAAAACATACGTATGAAGAGGAAAAATCCAGATAACCTTCTGAAGTCATCCCTGAAAAATTCAATCCGTCTGAACGGTAATAAATACAATTCGAAATTAATTTATTTCATTTATTTAAATTGTTTTAGATTCGCAGGCCTTCTTTTCGCTGTCCGCAATAGAGGAGAGTGAGGAAAGAATATCGGTAACACTTTGCATAATTTAACTAATTATACAATTTTAGGTAGCAGCTTCAAGCCTGCAAAGGATAAGATAATCGTAGAACCAGTCTCAGGCGCAAAGGAGTCTGAAAGATCAAATCCTAAGCGCCTCAGTCGTTCAATGAGTGAAACTATGTGGATGTCCGCCATTAATACCAGTTTAGATTTGGAGAATGTCAACGATAAGATTATTCCCCAGAACGCGAGCCTTCACCTATCCTTGCAAGATTCCCACGCCGGTAAGGTGCGTTCGCTATGTGTCGCGGAAATTTACCCTACCTGTGTATTGTTACGTGCAGACTGTTGCAATTCCGTCCAAGACGCCGGAACTAGTTACGACGCCTCGCCCCCGAAAGCTGGTGTTTGGGCATCAGTGACCTCGCTATTCAAGAATGTCAAGAACGCGGTAAAGTCGTTTGCGCACCCGATGGAACTGCACACCTCGCTCAAGCGCAACCGATCAATGACAGACAGCGAAACGGACTTAGAGGAACGAATCCTGAAGCGATACAAGCTGTACGATGTCAAATGCCGTCCGCCGATTCGGCCCAACTGGAAACATTTGGTTCCCAAAGTGGATAAATGCATTCAAACTGATTTTACGATGAGGACTAAATTCGATGTTGGTGTTTACTTTATATTTAGTCTATTTTCATGTTTATATGCGTATTATTTTGCGTCCATGCTGAGCACGTTTACTTATTTTGTGATGCCGTTTGTTGCTGAATTATTTATAAATTATACAAGTTGATCATTTTGTGTCTTACTCTATTGAAACAAATAATGGTTAGTAGTTTTGGTGGGATACCAGGATGATTGTAAATCGAAACAAATTCAACTGGCACCAAGTTTGCAAACTTACTATGATCAACAGATTCTTATCCAACCGGTCATTTTCATATTACTTAGATAAAAACCTCACTTTATCCTGACTTGTGAAAAGCACCTTGTTTCTTTAAAACCTTTAGGAAGTTAAATACTGACGTCATGCGTCTCGAAAGCATAAAGAATACTCCAGTTCAGTTCCTGATGTTAACATCTCATTTTTATAAAAAAATAAATAAATTGTTTCTAGCAGATATCCTACATCAACGCTTAGATGCAAATTTGGAGAGCAAATTAAGCCCTGATCAGCTTAAATTACAAGTTATTAAAAGAGATAGAGACAGAAATTAATACCAGAAATATCACGTTTTGTATAGTGGTTTAATGATAGTACATGTAGTATCAAGTGGCCAAAAGGGCGTTTTAGTCACGAGATTGATTATGAGCGAGCGTTTAATCAATCGAGTGTTTAACAACGTGATGCTTGCGCTATTTTTCTACTCCCAGTCTATTTCTACGTTACGGGTTTTGTATTTTGTATTTGGTGTTTTAAATTTTCGAAATTCGCTCGCACACAATTACTCGTGAGGGCACGAGCAGCAGGAGCACCTGCTTTGACTAGTTTGACTGTCGGCGCATGGCATTTCATATCGTTTTGTGCTCTACCCCTTGCCTAAAGTACTTTGGTAACGGCCTTGGCCGTCCGTGTTTAAAGTAGGTATCACTTTTTGTGTCTCAAAACAGTAGAAAAACTGACGCTTTAAAAATGAAAGCAGAAAAATCATATTATCTGTTGTTGTATGATACTATAATGCACCCACCCCTAAATAAAGTAATAACTATGAAAATAAAATAAAATAGTTTAATGTGTGCGGCTTCATAAACTTTGATGTGAACGGATGGAGTCAATATTTAACAAAACAATCAAGGAATGCTTTCTTAAAATATGTATTTCTTAATTCATAAAAATATATTCATATATCGAGTAATATATACGTATAGTGTCGTCAATAACTTATCCACAGTGACAGCGATACGGTAGCGATACACACATACGAAAAATCATGATTGGTACCCCGTAATGCTTAAAAAGATATACCACACTTAAACAGTCAGAAGTAAATAATAATTAATCAGCATGCAGCAATAACAATAACAATTCACTTAATCAAACATTGGTGTGCAAACATAATTTAATTTCATCGTCGCGCCCACACGCCTCTTTATAGATCAATAGGTGATTCAAACAATTAGTATTGCAAAAGTTTGTTCGTCACTTAATAGATTTAAGTCTATACCTATAGTAATAGTTTTGCTCCATCGTCTATCAATCATTTGTTCCATAATTTTAAGTTCGCAACCGATTTGCGGCGGATTTTTAATACGTACGCACGGAGTCAATACGTGTCATCAGTCAGTTCCAGAAATTGCGCGCTCACCTCGCGGGTTGCTTCACCTTTCACGTTGAACATGAACTTGTAGTAACAGCCGTCGGCACAAATCACTAACACAAAAATCAAGCAGAAAATAATACTGTTGTTTACTGAAATATAAACAAGACACTTACCAATAACAGAATTATCAGTACCAAAGGCGCAAACACTCGGCGGGCCGTTCGGAACAGTGAACTTGCAGAAAGACCAATTCGACGAGAAGTACTTCGGCAGGAAAGCCGTGTTTGCAAGCGAGGATTGCTTGTTCAATTTTGGATCGTCTAGTGCAAAGATGTGCACGGTGCCGTGGTCGGAAGACACGCACAGGCACGTTGACGTGCTGTTAAAATTAATGCAGTAGATTGTCGCCTATAAAATTTAGGCAATAAATCAATGGAAAAATCGCATATATATATTTTTAAATGATTACTTGATGAGCACCCCGTCGCAGTTCAGCAATTTTATTCCCTGGGCTGTGTCGAACACTCGAATTAGTGTACCCTTCTCGCTAGCAGTCGCCAATCGCGTCCCTTGCAAGTTCAACGCAATGCAAATCAAATCCGTCTCGTGTGCGAAGATATCCAGCGCGGATTTCTCTGTGTTTGCTAAATCTATAACCTGCACGTGCCCGGTTTGCCTTCCCGGAAAAGCAAGCAGCGAATTGTTGCTGTTAGGGCACAAGACGCACAGTCCACGGGGGTTCGGACTGGTCTCAAATACATGCAGCTGTTGTGGTGTTTGCGTGAAGGTGTAGACTTTAATCACACGTTCTGGAAACACTTGTGAATTATGCTAGGACAAGAAACACAGACAAATTTTACCTAAAACAACAACAATGCGATCACGGCGTAGCTTCACCGCCAGCACGGGTCCATTAAAGTCTAGACCAAAGCTAGTCTTTTTCTGTAGATCATCCCAAACCATCACTTTGTCAGTGGGATAAAGTGGATTAGGTCCACCGCCAATTAATGCCAGATAGTTGCATCGAAAGAGCATCTCCACATAACCCAAGCCTCCATCATCAAATTCGCGACGTTCCTTTTCTTTCAGTGGATCGCAGTTGTAGATACGGAAACCGGTGGTAGTAGCGCAGGAAAAGCAACCTGCAGGCGTTCAACATGTGTGAGCTATTTTTATATGCCAGAGGGTGGAAATAAATTCTACTCACCATGATCCTGATTGAATCCCATGTACAGCAGGCCGTTGCCGTACGGATTGTCTCGCAGATTCATCTTCTGCAGTGGTCAACTGTGTGGAAACAACACATTTAAACAAAACGCATCTTTATCGGCGAATGAATTGACTCGCTTCTTGCTTCCTTGTTTTTGTAATATAACCTATAAGTTTTTTCTTTCATATGTTTATGTGTAACCTGAGTTGCCAGGGAATAACTTAATTTTTAAGGAAATTGAGTTATATCATAGACAAATTTATCTGTACTAAAAATACAAATATTAAAAGGAAATAATTAAATATAAGTTAAATAGATTTTAAAATCTATTAGCCAATCAGAGCTTGATTTTCCGTGGCAATGGCCAATCAGTTCAAGCTGATTCAAATATTGTGCTATAATATTAATTGTAACTATTAATTGTTATTTAATGATGATTAATTAATGTAAAATCTAAAAGCAGTAAATTTATTAAACAATACATTAATTTTTAAAAGTTTCGAATGTTTGTGATTTGAAAAATCGTTTTCATCGTTAGTTTTCGTTGCCCTTCGTATAACCTTGACTTATCGACAGGTAGCGGCCTCTACACGTACGGGCCGTGTCGACCGCTCGCCTCGCTACACGAGTCTTCGCACCGAATTTATTAAGAAAATAAGAAATTTCACACGACTTTTAAAAGAATGGCTGGATTGATGAAGAGCTTACGCCTGGTGAGCCGGCAAGCCAGCTTCCTGCGGACGTACGCGACACGGCCGACAACGTTCGCCGTCACGAAGTTCGTACGACGAAACCAGCTCGAGGCTCAGATCCTCGCACCTAGCACGGTAATTATTGTACTGCTCTTCTATCATCATGCTAAAACATCTGCAGATAATTTGGGCGAATTGCACCTCCTGTTCATGCGAGTGCCATTATTCGTGCCACAGCGGGCACTTTAATCGTAATAGTGATTAAGAAAGTTACATAATTTGCCCTAACCTCAAATGTATTATGCGTGCATTCAAATTTATTAATACACAAAACGATGTTAAATATGTTGTGTAAGTCAGATGCGTGAAAGTCGGAGTATTAATGATATGCAAACTACAAAAATGTCATGCATGCTTTTTTTTAAGTTAGGTTTATTTGTTTCTTGTAATTTGAGAGGTGTTTCAAGAGCACATGATACATATGTTGATAGTGGTTTGATGTTGTGGTGGATATGGAAATTGTTCTTATGTATGATTTGTTTGAATTCAGATGCAATATCGCATGTATTCGCCCGAAGTAATAAAAACGAAATTGACCGAGGGCGAAATCAAAGACCGCGTCCTGAAAGTGTGCGCATCATATGATAAGGTCACAGCTGATAAGGTAATATTAAAATGCGATTCTCTCGTTTTTCCAGAGCGTCCTGCTGTCACCCCTAGAGCGATGTTATAGTTCCAAGCCGCCGCTTAGTCTAAAACTGATTACTGACCGGGTGCTGCTCGTGCTGAAGCTTTACGACAAAGTTGACCCCGGCAAGGTACGCGGTAACAAACTGATGGCGGTGACAGTATTGACCACTCTGAGATTTGCAGCGAGGGATTGACTTAGAGAACTATACTAATAGCGCGTTAATTTTCAGCTGTCGCTTGACTCGCACTTCATCAACGACCTGGGCCTTGATTCACTGGACCACGTTGAGGTAATCATGGCCATGGAGGATGAGTTTGGTTTTGAAATCCCGGATGCCGACGCCGAGAAGCTGCTGAAGCCCGGCGACATTGTCAGATACGTTGCTGACAAGGAGGATATCTATCATTAAGCGTAGTGTGTACGTAGGTTTAGTTGTAATATTGTGACATGGCGATTTCAATATTTCAATCTTTGTACATTACGTGCTAGCGATCCCATCGAGCTGCCGGACGCCCGCAAGTGTAGCTACTATTAATTGTGAACATTTCCATCTATTTGATGAATTGGTTGAATAAAATATATGCATTGTGCTGGTCTACCAAAAGAAAAACACGAAATGCATTCGCGAGTGCTTTATTCACGTTTGCATGAAAGTTGAGGGTTTTTGTCGTCGGTGGTTGATTGTACATGCAAATAAATATAATTTCGTAGTTTAGATTGCAATTTATTTTTCGTCGTGCGACTTTTCTACACCTAAACAGCAAAGAATAAGTTACAATATTGAATTAATGAAATTGTTACTTGGTGAAACTCTATGATGACCAATCTAAATTAAAAGTGGTTCATTCCGTTTCACATAATGTCTGTTTGGACTGCGACATGTTAAACTGCACAAAATTTCCGCTACATTTGCAAAAATCTACAATAAACTAAAAGACAAGAAGACTTCATTAATCGTTTTGGTTATTCGTGTTACTCTTTACGTCTCGGAAATACTTAAAATTGCAATATTGCTATAAATAGTCCCATATGTCAATGTGTCTCAACGTATCATTAAATCGAAAAATGTTCAGATAGACTAAGAAAATATTAAAAATTATGATATTTTAAACCAATAGGCAACAGGAAAAATCTATTTTCTTAAAAATATTAACATAACACTACTTTCAATTAGGCAAAAGGGAAATAAATAAGAATGTAACTGCCATACCAATCGTAAAACGATAAAGTAGGAAACATATTGCGTTGGAATTGCCACTTTATAATTCCACTTGGTGATCGACACCAGTTTTAAATTTTCATCGGTTTCTGCATAAGGTGGATACCTCTTCTCCGTCATCTTCTCTCTAATATAGCCCAGACTCTTGGTTAAAATACTTTTCTGGTGGGTAAACGTATTAAAGCTAGCCTTACCATGGTAACTACCCATACCACTTATTCCAACGCCACCAAACGGCAATTCATTAACATACAGGTGGGTGACTGTATCATTTACAGCAATTGTCCCGGCGGAGACAGTCGTTATCAGTTGGCGGACTATTTCTCTGTCATCTGAGAATATATAAAAAATCAGTGGCTTTTCGCGCTTCTTCTCTGTGATAAACAGCATTGCTTCCTTTGCAGATTTCACATTAACAATCGGTAACAGGGGACCGCTAATTTCATATTGCATAATGGGATCTGCAGGATCAACGTTCACCACGATGGTTGGTTCGATGAAGCGCTGCGATAAGTCTGATTTTCCACCGTACGCAATATTCATGTTCTTTAACAGAGCATTAATGCGTCGAAATTGGAGCTCATTCACAATGCGACACAAATCAGGCGATTTTTTAATACTAGCACCATAGAAACCTCGAAGAACTTCCTTTGCTTGCGTAATAAACTTCTCCTGCATCTGTTTGCTACACAAGATATAATCGGGTGCCAAACAGTGCTGGCCACAGTTAATAAATTTGCCCCAGAGGATTCTCTTTGTAGCAATATTGAGATCTATGACTACATCGTCCAGGTAAACAGGATTCTTTCCGCCAAGTTCCAAAGTTACTGGAGTCAGATGTTTATTTGCTGCTTCGTGGACGACTTTGGCTGCTTTTACAGATCCTGTATAAAATATGTAGTCAAAACGTTCCTTGAGTAGCCCGGTTGTTTTGGAAACACCTCCAGTGTACACCGGGAAGCAGTCGTTGTCTAGGTACTTTCGGAGCAAAATTGCCATCAGCTTGGCGCAGGTTGGTGCAACTTCTGATGGTTTAATAACGGCACAGTTGCCAGAGGCAATAGCGCCATGCAAAGGCAGCAAGACCAGTTTGAAAGGGTAGTTCCACGCACCGATAATTAGTACTACTCCATAAGGCTCGTGGACAATCTTGAGCTTGTCCAGAAAATTTGCCCAACTTCTTCGCGGCAGGATCGGTTTAATCCATTCGCTGAGATGATCTAAGATGTATTTTAGATCATTATGCATAAATTCCAATTCGGTAAGGCAAGCCTCCATTCTGGATTTACGCAAGTCTTTGTATAAAGCGTCCGCCATTGCTTGCTTGTTCTCGCGGTACATGCAGAGAAGAGCCTGCAGTTGCTGCTTACGGAAATGAAAATTACGGGTTCGTCCGCTATTGAAAGCGGCGCGTGCTTGATTCATCATCAGTTGGGTTACCGTTTGTGATCTCTTTGCACCTGTAGTATTAACACTTCATCGTCAGAGTGGACCAAAAATATGTGCACGTGTGATTCAAAAATAAAACATCAAGATAATTTTAATAGGATCTAAAAATGACTACTTTTGTTTGTTTTAAATCTTTGATGAAATGAAAATTTAATATCGAGTGTCTTACTTACGCATTTGGCTGAAATTTAAGGTCCTCCTGCGTGAGAAGTTTGTGGTTGAATGAGTATAATATAAACCACCAGAATCGAAGCTTGATGTTTCTTTTGTTTTCGCACAGCCTACTACATTCGAAGTTAGTTGAGATAGTAACCTTAGCATTTATGAAAAACATTTTGATTTTTTTTTTGTTTTGTTTCATGGCTTGCTGTGACTCAATCACTTTACTTACTGCAAGATATCTATTCTGCGTCTTTTTCTATCATTATTCAACAACGTACTCTTTGTATGGTATAAAAGTTTTTCCATCAGATTCCAACTCAAATAGTCAAATTTATATTACGACAATCCTAAGAGGTACGGCAATTTTAAAGTAAAAGCTATTTTAATTATTTGACAATGGTTTACCTGGAATGTGAACCGTATTGCAGACAAGAAAAATTCATTCAACTTCGATATGAAAAGATGACATTAGCCGTACTCGAATGTTGTTTGATAAGCAAGGGCTGCATCAATCTGCTGATATTAGGCAACGAAAATATTTATTTCTTACCCGTTGAGAAAATAATGCCCACTTGTACTTTCGAGATTTGTAGGTAATAGCCTATTATATAGTGAAAATGGAAAACACTGTTTTACCTACAACCACAAACATTTATATTACTTCAAAACAAATGGATATAACGAGCTAAAAAGAAAGCTCAAATTTCGTGAATATTTTGCTGACTATTTAAATCATTGAAACGAATAAATTCTTATTTGAATCATATATTACTGCAATCACTCAAAAGCTGCCCTGGACACATTTTTAATTGCTTAAAACGGGAATGCAATAAATGCAAATGGTAATTGATCAAGTGTTCTTCACATCCTGGTCAATGTTAACGTGTAATACAATTTCAATGCTACTTGATAGCATCGCAAATTGCCTTTTAACTGTGGAAGTTGATTAATTTAATGTCATGATATATACAATTTTAAAATCTTGGTGTAACAATTTTAATTATACGTACAAAATTGATTTTTCAACAACCTTATAACCCTTATAATATTAACAATTAACAGTTACAAGAAGAACATTTAGAATTCATCTGTCTTATGACAAACGTAGTTCAAAAGATATGCTGCACCCATTCCAACCGCGAAAGCAATAATATGGGGCACATATTTCAAAGAAATACTCTTTCTGTATTCCAATGCAGTTGTTAAGAATTGTAGATTTGCTTCAGTATAAGGTGGATACCTCTTCGATGCGAGTTTCTCCCCATAAAGCCCAAGTTTTTCATCAGGATACTCTTCTGGTGAGTGAAGGTATCAAAACTGGCTTTGCCATGGTAGTTACCCATACCACTCATACCAACACCGCCGAAAGGTAAACTATCAGTGCAAATGTGTACTATGGTGTCATTGACACATATTCCACCTGCAGACACTTCTCTGATCATGTGTTTAATGGTTTTCTTATTCTCCGAGAAAATGTAGAAAGCTAACGGCTTTTCTCGTGATCGAATGAATTTGATCGCCTCCTCGTAACTTTCCACGGTTACAAGCGGCAACACCGGCCCGAAAATCTCCTCCTGCATAATCGGATCGGTCGGTTTACAATCGACCACGATTGTTGGCTCAATGTAACGCTCCGTCGCGTCAGTGTTACCACCTACAGCAATATTCGCACCCTTTAATAGATTGGTAATGCGTTTGAAGTGTGCATCGTTTACAATCCGACACAAATCCGGAGATTTTCTTCGGTTTTCTCCGTAGAAGCGTGTGAGTATTTCCTTCGCTTTACTGACAAACCTGTCTTGCATCTCTTTACTGCACAAAACATAATCGGGGGCAACACAGGTTTGACCTGAGTTCAGGAGCTTTCCCCACATAATTCTCGTCACAGCAGTAGTAATGTTATTCATATCATCCAAATATACAGGACTCTTCCCACCAAGTTCCAATGTAACTGGTGTAAGAAATTTGTTAGCGGCTTGATGAACGATTTTGCCAACCGCTGTAGATCCGGTGTAAAAGATGTAGTCAAAGCGTTCTTTCAGGAGTTCGGTAGTTTCTGGAACACCTCCCATGTAGATTTGGTAGCAATCTCTGTCGAGGTATTTCGGAAGCAATACTTCTAACAGTTTGGCGCAAGCAGGAGAAACCTCTGATGGTTTGACAATCGCACAATTACCAGCAGCTATTGCACCATGCAGGGAAGCATTGACAATTGTAGTGGATAGTTCCACGCGCCTATGATGAGCACCACGCCATATGGTTCACGGATAATTTTCAGCCGATCTAGGATGTTAACCACTCCTTTTCCTGGCCGCTCCGGTTTAACCCAGGAGTAGACATGATCAATGGTATACCTTACATCGTTAATGAGGAAGTCCAATTCGGTTAGACATGACTCCATTTTACTTTTGCGCAAGTCCGCATACAGCGCATCCATTAATGCCTGTCGATTCTCAGTGTACATACGCTGAAGAGCACGAAGTTGCTGAAGGCGGAACTCGACGCAAAAGGTGCGCCCTGAATCAAAGGCGCTCCGTGCTTTATCAACGCTATGGGGGCAGACATCTTGGATATGTTAAAATCTGAAACACATAAATGTGATGTACTTTACACTATTTCTACACGCACAACGGCTATCATTTACAATCGCGTTAATGACATTGCTTATCTATAATCGAATGTGTATCTGTTTGACGTGTTGACCTGACAACAATGATGCAGCACCTTATTTGCATATACGGCAACATCAATGAGTCAAACGTGTTTTATAATTTGCGCTGATGTTTCTATTATGACAATTATACTTGATGGTCGTAATAATTTCATATTAATGAACTTATTTTTAGCATCTGTTTAGTTTTTAAACATTTCTATAATAATGTTTAAAACCCATTAACATTTGCACATGGCATTTGGTATGTATGTGATAAAAGTATAATATAGATATAAATATAAATATAGAATATAGATATAGATATCTGGACTTTCAACTTAGTCGTCTATTTTATTTGTAAAATACCTTAGCAACAATAAAAATAATGATTCTCTAATGTGTCTACAATAATCGTAACCTTAGTACAAATCAATCTAAATGATAGTAACTATATCATGAGTGACATTACTTTTCCTGATTATGAGATTATGTTAGAAGTGTCTAATAGTTTTTACCAAACGAATTGTACAACATTTAATCCATAATGAAAATAAATTACCATCTACTCACAATAATCACTAAAAACGACGTAAAAACAGCACTGAGTAAGTTTTTTTCGCGACACATCGATGTGACGTTTGTGATAGTATTTTGTTTTGTAAACAACAAGCCACCTACGATATTAAAAAGAATAACATACAATCACTTCTATGAACTTAAAATTACGCATCGTTGAAAACTGTCTAATCATGCACGCTTTTATTTTAAATTCTAAACTTAACTGAATTATTTAAAAAATATTGAAATAGTGTTGATTGATTAGTATGTAGATTATTTTACTGTGATAAGAATTATTATCAGCTTTAAGCAAACAGAGCAGTTATATCATCGTGTTTGTAGTATTTATACGTACACTCTGTCCGCACGCCTGAAGTGAAAAAATCAATAAAGCTCTTGCCTTGCATAAGACGCTATGTAGAGGTGCGTAGCAGCGACAAAAAACGCAACACAATTGTACTTACGAGTAATTCTTAATAGTACGTAAACACTTCAGCTTTGGCAGATGCTTCACACACGGCGTACGTATCCGTAATCGATTTCAGGAGTGTTTAGAGACCATCAGCGGCCGCAACTGCGCGTAGACAATCGTTCGCGGTGCGCTTTAAACTGACGGCGTCGCGCGACGACCCGCGCGTCGAGACCATGTCCGCACTGATAACAACACGTCTTTAATAAACTTTAATCACAGTTACTAGACCATCGCTCACGCACTGGTTGTGAAAGTAAACTGATTCAATTTAAATTAATACTAAAATTAGTTGATCTTTTAAAATCCCTCCTGGAACGCAATTTTTAAATAGATTCCAAAAATAAAATTCGCTGATTTAAAACAAGCAAGTTTATTAATTTTTTTCCATGCGTGCAATTTGACAATTAATTTCAACTCATTATATCACATAACGAACACTTATCTAATCTTGTTTTGTTCGTAATATGAGAGATTGTTTTGTTATGCCTCTCGCGCAACACGCAGTACAATATGCTTTAATTAAGTCTGTGTTTATACGCAGTAAATGTACAATTTGAACCATTGTTGATGGGGTATAGGTCAGCACATAATTTGAGCGTTTTGCCTTTGAGAGCGAGCTGAAATGTTCAAATTTAAACGCGACATGATTTTTTGAGATTATTTCGCTGTGATCTATAAGTGCGATGTAACTAATGCAATGACTCGCATGTTGTGCTAGTATTTTGATTCCATATAATACACACGTCAATTGTGTTATTTGTCGAAGTCCAAGGTTTCATGCAATTGGCAACATAACGAGTTGCATTCATGCAAGGCTAAACCAAATGAAATTTTATTAGAAAATACCAATAGTACGTTGAAGAAATGATGTTTTTAAAAGATATTAAATTCTAGGGTTCGATGCATGGAAATTATATTTATTAAAAACTGCACATATTGGTTGTTATTAGTTTTATTTTGCGTAAAATCCAATCTCCATAAAAATCACGTTTTCTCATTTCTAGTTATGATTTCGAGTGCGTTTGAATAAATGAACTTTTACTAAATTTAGAAAACACTAGTTTTTATTACATCAGGCAATTGCGGTAGTTTATATTATCTTATCCGATTTCAATTAGGGAATCTTTGGCAAAGACCGGCGTGTTCTTCAGGTTGGGATTTCGACATCAAAGTTTCGACGGGTTTCGTATTCGGTTTTTCTGTTTCCTCGCACGTGGTGTAAGATGGCAAATGAATCGCACCACCTCTCGCCATTATATCGACGAATAATGTCTTAATTGGTAATGCGATACGGTTAATGACGAAACATGTGGCAATAACCTGCTGCTATGGGTCTGCTATGGGCTTAGCTTCTCAAGAAGGCAAGCAATTTAGTGTGTAGCCTACAGAAATATGTATCAATTTAGGATTTAATCTTATTTCAGTTATCTTAGATTATTTGGTTGCATGTTTCTACAAAGTCAAATACTAAAATACTTGGTTTCCTTAACAATTTTATTTGGTCATGAATGTGATCTTAAAATATCATTGATTCAATTTTTGTCTGGGACTACATCCACGTAAATTTTTATTAAAAAATAACCTTCTTTGAAAGAAATGATAAAAATACACATTTTGGTTTAAATTAAATAACAATAACTAAATTGCTATATAAACTATAATCTCTTATTTTACATCTAACAAATTATATTCTACCATAAAATGTACTTTACTTGTTTTTCTAGATCAAAAAATCTTTACATCGAAATTTATAAAATTGGTTGAGTGGTTTTTGCACGAAAGCGTAACAAACTCGCATTTCCATTTATAATATTAGTTAGAATATATTAAGCGACGTAATATATTTGATCGCATAGTTCTGCATGTCAAACGCTGGAGTATTCGCTTTTACATATTGCAATGTTAGAACATCATGAATTTGAACTGAACGTTAGATTAACTTGCTTAATTAACAAATTTTACTAGTTTATTAATGTATAAAAATCTGCGTTTGTTACACATAGTTCCTTTTAAATATATAAATATAAAATTATACTGATAATAGATTTTCAAAATAATAGGATACTGTATTGTATTCCATTTTCATAAATGTAGTTTTTATAATTATTCCGAGGTCCGCTCAACAAAACATATTGTTGTGTAGGTATATTGATATTTTTAATAATCAAAAACGTAAAAATGCATATTATTATTTATATAGAGTGGTAAATAATAATTTTTGCTTGGGTGAAAAATGTTGCAATATTTAATTCATTTGTCCCATCGACGTGTGTATAGATTCTCGATTTTATTTTGATAATGACCAGACGTGATCAATAAATCAAAACCCCGAATTTTGGCTCAAGTGATTACCCAGCACAAGACACAATTCAGACGTATTTATGTGGAAGTGCGATTTTATTACCAAGATCATGTGTTTTCTACATGACCGGGTGGAAAACATTGTTGATACGAGAAGCTTCAAGGGCAAATAATGCCTGTTTTAAGTTCATATTAGGGGCATATGTATATAAATCATACATACATTTATTGTTAAATGCATAGAAAAGGAAAGTAAACAATAGGAAATTCTAAATATACATATTTACTTTTTAAAATATTTAATTTTTTCTGCTTCTTACATAAAGTACAGTTGTGATAAGATAATCGGAACAGCACTCATCTCATCTTAAATTTAAATTATATATTCAATCTCTAAGAATTGAAGATTTTCGTTGAGCTACACAGATGTAGTTTTTGAGTAAACTGTAAATACATTATTTTATTAATAATTGTGGCCATTTGTAAATGTGAATGAAAAATTCGAAGAATTGACAAAGTACCACAATAACAAAAACATTGTTACTGACAAAAACATGCTTTTACTCATCAATTCTCTAAAATGATAGATTGGAATAAAGTAATTAGTGCCAATTTTTGAAATAATTACATAAAACTTTCAGAATTGCTACAGAGGAAATTGAACCTGTTTGTGAGAACGTCCTTTAAAGCCAGTAGCCTGTGGTGGACAGCTTGCCTGCAGAATCTATGTTGTCGCTGGATGCTCTGAATACCTTTTCTCTTGCGATATTAATAGCTGGACATTCACAGGAAATGTGCTGTGCCACTGCATTATGCTTTTCACAACCTCAACAAATTTGGTTAATACTCATTTAGTTACATCAAGCGCACAATGTTGCATCTAAATTCGAGATTCTAAAGCATAATTAGTCAATAATTGTAGTTAGAGATAGTTTATGTCATAATTCTGTGCGAATATGAATACATTGTTTAAATTGATAAATAAACGAAACACACACATAATCACAAACATGAATTTCTTGAAGCAATATATAATAGAATCGAATGTTTTCATGTTTGCAGGGTTTGCAAATCGCAACCTGATTTATTCGGTACTGCGCTGACGTCCGCTGGGATTTATTAATATATATTATTTATTAGTTGCGTGATGAAGCGTCCATTTCGCATCCATTTTCATCCGTTTTGCTCGTCGCGCTTTCAGTATCCGCCGCCCGAGCTGAGTTATTCACAGTCGTGTGGGCTGGTGCAAATGCGTGCATAATGTCTATAAATGTTTTGACGTGCCCGCCGAGACCAATGCATACTAATTAAGACATTTCCACCACATTCTTCTCCAATACAATTTGTTATTTAGTTTGCAGCGCGACACATTTTTTCGATTCAGCTACGATAAAATGATAAAGTGTCGCACGCCGCGGAGACGTCGGCGGCCATTGAAAGGAATTGACAATTAAACAGGACAGCGTCGAGAACTTATTCGCGTTCTTTGAAGTGTAAAACCCATTTCTTTTGTCAATCTGGGAAAATTCGTTCTTGTTGCGCATTTATTCGTCACAGCGGTCTACATTTATAATATTCGACGGTCCTAATAAAATAAGCTTGAAATCGTAATTTTATTTACGGTCAAAGATTATTAACAAAGTGTCATCGATGATTGATTCCGGAAAGGTTTGAGTGCCTCCGCGGATATGAATAATGAGATGTAAATATTTCAACATCAAACTGTTTGTCTGCCACAGCAAATAAAACATCCCTTCGAGGGAAATAAAGGCGTGATAAATAGTTTGAGTAGGAAAATTATTACCAGACAAATAGACGTGAATACGCCACTCTTAAAAGTTCTTATTAAAAACTTTTACATCAGTACTAACAGTAGTAGAGAAGCAGTGGTGGAAACTTAAAATTGCATATCTCATCTGCATTTCATTCAGGATATTCTTAGTTGAATTATGTTTACTTTATGCGCACGTTTTTCATATATCAGCTTCTTTTGTTGTTTTATTACGGAGACTATACGTTCAATTACTCTCCGGCGCATTTCACAAATTAACGCTCTTTTATTTATATTTTATAACATCCTACTCGCGAATATCTCCGTTTTAATGTTCGTTTGTTCTAAACACGTATGTCTTACTGAGCTACTGTAATAATCTACGGGAAATATGTTGATCCCTTTCAGTTCGTACACAATTTATTCTGAGAGATTGAATCGTATATTTTTTGTGCTACTTTAAATGCTTGAAAGTAACGCTATTCATTGCAGGTGAAAATGTGATGAAAAATTGAGCAGCACACCTTTGAAGAATTTAATCTCAACACGAATGAATGAATACTGTCGTACCCAGTGCGTAAAATATGAATTTCCCTTAGTAAGTCATAAAATGCATGGTTTTCGAAAACTAGCTAAATTATATTACCTGTTTATCTCATTCAAAAATTAAATTAAATGCAAAAATCAATTCAAATCTATAAAATAAATAAGTTGGCACATATGAGTCGAAAACATAATTTTCATTTTCTGCGCATTTCTCGAGTGTTTCTCCTCGTCAAGCGGATAAGGAAGCAAAGCGTACACAAATATTACATGTAGCGCATGAGTCTGCACCATCCCTGCATAATTAGTCCTTGATTTGTAGCACTTTAGCGCTCCCCAACCAATGTTTACCTTTATCGCTTCTCAGTGTTTGTTCGAGGAGAATTTTGGCAACGCAAATTAATTTCCTATATAATGAACTTGTTTTCATTCCGAGGGGTAGAAGTATGTGCTGAATGCGGGAGTGTGTTTTCGGGAAATTAATAACATTAAGCATTTTTTCGTCAGCTTTGACTGTTTTTCACTGTGTTGTCCGTTTTAATGTTCGAGGTCGTTTAGTTAATTGCATAATGCTAAATTTTATTTCTTTTATCCGCGCCTGGCTCGAGATACAATAAAATTACAAAATTGCGATTTTGCCGGTAATTAAAGCAGGCGCAGTGTGCGACGATTAGCGCAATGTTTTGTCGATTAACCCATCGTGCCACCCGTAGGCAAACAAAACCACTAAAAACATTTCGGGAGGTTTATGATACTGATGACGGAGATTATCATTTTATCACCCGAGGTAGCAAGTTTCGTGAAATTGTCTGAATTCTAAATCTTAGCAATTTGGAAACTGTCGATAATAACTGCACCGCGCGCGCTTTTGCGACTCGCGAGCTGGAAGATTCTTGGTGGAGGCGCCGCACTTCAGAAGTATCCTCTTCGCGCGCGGAGGCAGCGAGCCCGCATCATTCGGCGTACGCGCGCTCGACCAAACGCACGGCTTCGCACCGACTCCAGCGTCCTTCGACCAGTTTGCGCCCTAATCAGTTAGTGTTGCTAGCAAAGTTACAAATTTGCGGCAAATATTAAACAGTGCTCACACAGCAATTTGAAAGTTTGCAGAAACAATTTCAATATAAATCAGTTTACGCTTAATAATTTATTTACTTTAAACAATTCAATTGCGTTCCTGCTGCAGACCGTAAAAGTGTAAAGTTTTTGGCGGAAAAGGTAAGAATTCCAGAAAGCATATCTAATTGGCAATAGACGTTGATAATTAACTTTGGTGTGTTAATTGACGACCAATTTATCGCCGCGCGGATGCGATGGAAGAGCTTTGAGCGAGTTGCATCGAGTTGTTCAAGCGCATTTATGAATGTCGTCTTGACTATCAGGTCTGATTCGTATTCATCGAGAAGTTTTGCGTAGATACCTGCAAGCGTACACAAAACACCTGCACTAAACTTCATAATTAGTGTAAGTTATATGTTGTAATTATTAATTTATTATGAATGATGCATAATTTATTTCACAAATATTTCCTAAGTGCGTAGTTTAAATTTTGGGCTTTGTGCATGTCTTTTTGCTTTGTTTTCACACGCGCATCATAAATAACAAATTGAACAAAACACTTCTATATGTGAAAGCATGCACTTCTATCTTTACGTTCAAAGCCGGTATTTGCGTGTTTATTTGCTGCGATACAATAACGCAGATTTTTATCCCAATGTTTCCACCGGTTTTCTATAAATTGAGGCAAATGCGCCACAAAGCACTACATTTCCCGCCACGCGCGCGCTTTTATCTCTTCACGCACTCTACCCACATGTACAATTTGCACGCGTCGGCGTCGAATTTACGTGCGGTGCACAAATTCGCCACCGTCAAAAGAAACCAACAGCGCACCGAAAAATCTAATTCAACTTTCATTATCTGCGCATTGCCCGTCTTGATCTTATTTCGAAGTCGAGTATTCGTGTTTGCACCCCCGAATGAAATACGAGCGCGCGTTGGTACTAACTAATTTCCAAAGGCGATTTGAAGGCCTGGGTTGCCTTCGGCGAATTTCAGGGCGAAGGCGGACAGAAAACATGTTTAACCAGGCGATAGGCTAGTAACAGGATGTTGTGGTACCGGATTAGCTTCCCGTCTTGTCAGGACCACAAAGCCGCTGGTGCCAATGGTCCTTTACACCCCCTGCTTGTCCCAACGAAATCTTACACGGATTCAAATTAAGATTTTAATTCCTGCGTGTTTGTTTTCAATTTTTAATTAAATCCGGACAAAGACAACTTGTTGAAAAATCATGCACGATGAATTGAGTACAGAAAAGAAAACGGTTCATGCACGACTTGGCCTATATAAATAATGCTTCATCAATCTAGGTTAGAGTCTTCTTGTGTTGTTTGGCCAGGACAGATTTAGCACAGACTTACTTCTGTTACGATATATTTATTGTCCGGGCAGAATGGATAGTTACGAATGTCGCAGTCGTAGGCGCTTCTTGAAGATCGATCATTCGCTTTTATTCCGGGATTCGGGCGCGGAAAGGGATATCAAATTTATTTCTAATCACCCTGGTTCGAATTACCGTGATTCCTGTCTGCAATAAATGCGTACAAGTAGAACTACGTACGAAAATGTACAGCTCGTATCCACAAGTTTGGGGTCGGCAGTTATGAATTTGACTTGATGTATAAGTACCGAACGCGATAGATACATGTTAATTTTGGTTATTTCTAGTTCAAGTATTACTTATTTACTTAAAATGTACCCTATAATGTGGCAAACAATATATTATTTACAATGAATAAGATATATTTGTGAAAATTATTTGTTTAGTTGAGAGAAAGGTAAATTCAGTAATTTTCAGTCATTAAGTCATTTTTAATCAACGTCAAAAGTTTGGTTTTGATGCTCATTGGTACAATTCTGTGAAGTGAGAATGAATGCCTGTTTGGTATTTACTCGTAAGACCTTAAATTAAATAATTTTAGTGATTTTCAGTCATCATATACTTGGACTGTGGCTCTTACATCGGGATAAAAGTATAACAACAATCAATCAATTTGACAAAGCTCAAATTTTATCGTTACTCAATGTCTGGTTTACTTAAGGAGAGTGCTCGCTATGCACTGCCAACTTAATTATATTTCAATCACACGTGAGCACATTGATACAGTTTTCAGCAACTGAAACGTCGTTTCCCAGTACAGGAGTCAATTTGTGCGCACAGCAAGCGAGTTGTTAGCGATAATTAACTCAGCTTCTCAAAATCACTGTCAATCATCAACGTAACACAATTTGATTTTTGGTCAGTCGCGTAAAATACGGAAAATTTCATCGATTAGTAAATTCAGGAAAAACCGACGTAACACGCAAGATGCGTAGGCGGTGTTGTTGTTTTGTTACGCTCCTTAATTGAATTCGCTGTAGTTGTTGATAACGCACGTTTCCGAGAAGAACAGCATTATCGGTTGTAACATCCTGCAAATGCATAATGTAATGCAATTCGGTTGTATTGTAGTTGCGTTTTCTTATTACCGTGACGTCCGTCTGTTTGTCTGGTGTTGTGCAATAGATTTATCTAAAATTAACATTGGCTGCTTGAAACAATGCGAACATTGTGCAGGCAGTACCAATTATCAACATTAAGATTTTTAAATAATCACCCACGAACATTTTAAATTATGGTGGAGAATACCAGGACAATGGATTACGGGCGTTGAAATTCGGCTCACAGAGTGGCGTTAGTACTATTATTTTGAATAGGCTCGCCATCAATTTTCCGCGTGCACCTGTGCGATTATAAACGTGCTCGAATTCATTCGTTCATGGATCGCGCCGGTACTGGCATTGTCGCCTCGTTATCCTGAAGAGCAATGTGTCGGCTGGTCGATGCATTGTTCCAGCGTGTTAATTAAAACGAGCGAATTCTTTTATGATTGCCGTACTCGTGCTTCATGTTCCGCGTTTGATATGCGTACGAATGGCTGATCAATTTCTAAATTTCGCCGGCTTCAACTTCGTGCAGCAATGGAAATTGTTTACTATAGGATACTGACCACAGGTTGTAATCATTGCCGGGCTTAAAACACAATTCAGCGCGAAATTTGGTAAATATATTTACTCATGCGTCAAACTCGCCAAACTATAAACATGTAAATGGCGCTTATTAAATTTCTCGGGATTGTTGGAAAATTGTTGAGAGATTTGAGAGTTTACTCATTGGTATATATACCACTATTGATTAAGGTCAATTGAAATTCATCAAGGATATCTATTACTCAGGGGCAGGCTGAAAAGCAATCATGTCAAACGAATCTAACAAAAATCAAAATCAACTGAGATTTTTATTAAACAAACGCTTTGCATTCAAATTTTAAATCTTTGATATTTTTTAAGCTATTTAGATTAAGCGAAAACTTTTCCATTCTTCCCGACCCTTTGAGAATTATTTTCTAAATAATAATAATTCTGAATATTTTTTAAAATTTTTTCTCCTTACCTCAAAAAGTTATGAAATTTTCAAAAAATGTTTTTAATTTTAAATTGCAATAACTTTTCCAAAATTAACCTTTAGATACCTTTTTTGACAATTTTTGTTTTGATTGAATTTTTCGAATCGCGTTTTTGAGTAAATTCGACATTTAAAACAAAGTTTTCCTTCGTGAAAAACTTCAATTAATTTGACAACTATTCCCGTTAATTCCGAGTGGGTCAATTTTATTTTATATTGTTTCTATTTATTTTAAAAATTGATATACTTGCGAACAATATATTAACACAAAAGGGAAAAATAAAATTTTGCCATAGCAAAGGTAAATTTGTTATAAGTTAGCAAGTCATGTCTCAGTATGTTGTCCGTTGTGGGCAACAGATATGTCTGGTATAAGTGCAACATATTAACACATTTTACAATCTAAAGAAAACTAAAAGTGACAATAAAATGCAAAAATATCCCGAAGTGTAATTTCAACTGTGCTTACGCGACTTAAGCACACACACACACATTTTTTCACTCAAACTTGATCTGAGAAGTAATCGATTACTTACGTGTTGACACGCTCCGCACTTTAATCATAGTATTTTTTATTTTAGTTCAAAGTTTACGATATCTTATTGCAGTTTTTCAACTATTCTTTGCAACTGGAAGAGCCTCGATTGTTTTAAAATCGGGAAAAACATTTCCATCGATTTCTTGCATCTCGACAGCGGCAGTAATAAAACAATACAATTGTAATGCAAATTGCAATGCGCTGGGAAGCTGATAAAGATGGACTTCTGTGCTTGACTTTGACAATCCAGAAATTCAAGTGCACCACGATAAATCTGGATCTGCGGTATACAAAGACTGCGGCTGCCGGAGAGATATATCAACTCGAAAGTTAAATGGGATGAAGAAGTCGATTAAGGGCACGGTATTGTCTTTGGGAGGAAGCTGCAACATCCCACAAATCAAATTTGTAATGTGAAAACTGGTATTTTTTATAGTGCGATTTTCAGAAGGCTTTTAACCACTTAAAACGTTTGGCTTTCAATTCAATGCGATATAATTCTTGTTGTTAGTGATGATTTATGATTTGATTTTTTGGTTTTGAGTTATACACTACTAAAGCAGTTAAGAATGATTTTTACAAGTTCTCTAAATTCTGTCAAATATGGATACAGCTTCTAGTAGGCCTTATCTTCGTCAGTTTATTTTCATCAATATTTCTTACACCAGTTGACACACTACACTTACTATTATGATCGTTATTCACATGTCACATCACGCAGAATGAAAACCGAGCATCGTTCAATTCTCCTATGCTTGCGCATATGTCCCGGAAGGTTATTAATTACAACGGGCGTAGTGTAATATTCAAACTGCAATATATGGCAGTACGATCAAAATTGTGACTTTTATGTTAAAACGCCAGGATATTTTTTTATACTTGCTTCTGACGATTTTTAAATGACTTTTCTATAATTGATGGTATAATATTTCTAAAATAGCAAAGGAAAATATTAAAACTTTCTCAATCGGTTATTATCCAACCAGACAAACAACCGTCTAACTAAGTTGCTCCAGTCTTACTACCCCCAACATCAGGAATATTGTAAACAATAGCGCTATGCACATGTACCTCAATTCAAATATTTGTTTCTGAAGATACACTTTGCCAAACTTTTATACAATTGAATAAAATTAATAAAAGCTTCAGAAAAATGCAATGGTCAGGACCAATGTGAAAGAAAAATTGCGCAAACTACATTGATGTGTCAACAGTAAACAAACGACTGGATTGCTCCTGTTCCACGTGCCGTAACAATGTAACCATTGCGTTACTCAATCTAGCAGCAGATATTGTAATAACGTCGGACGTTAATTCAGTTTACAAAGTCATAAATAGATTAAATAACACGCAAAAAAATTACCAAAGAGTTGATATAAGTTCGGACGTGTTCGTGGGTGAGTTAGCCACTTCTTTTGTTCTCTGCATATATTATTAAGAGCTTATACCCACCTATGTTGGTGTACGTAACGCAATAACGTTGCCATCAAATTCTTGTTGACAAGCAAGCATACTGGTTTCCTTACAATGAACTAGCAAACTGGGCGCAAATGCAGCGATCACATGTAATCACTGCCTGTTTTCTTCAACCGCACAATGTGTACAGGCGGCATTAATGAGGTATTATTGAGACGATTATCACAGTGCAGCCATACGTTATAATAATATCATCAATTTTCTTCGATACATTCTCGAATGGTGCGCAAATTTGCGTGGCGGCGACGTGCACGCCATGGGAATCGCGTCGGGTGCATTCTAATTAATCTGCAAATCTATAAGAGCTGGATTATGGCAATTGATATGTGGGCATCCTCTATTATATCATTCAATCCGATTGTTAATTCACAATTTATGATTATCAGGCGACTGTTACAACACGCGGTGGCGAATATCGGGTGCCATTCACAAATAAATTGTTGCAAATTATTAACGCAACGTAATTTGTCATACTGGCGACTAATGCGTAATGCAGATATAAATAATTTACATTGCATTTACATTACATTTACGGAGTAATTGCCGTAACATTTTGCATGTTTTGACTGAAAACCTTATAAACATCAAACGTATTTACCCTGAAGATAATGGTATCTATCACAATACTAAAATTGTGTCACTTTTGAGAATATATTGTTTGCCTAGAAATATAATTACAATAATTGATAATTGCTGCTTGTTGAAATAATTGAAAATATATTTTTTAAGCGTTCGGCGTTAAATTTGATTAATCTTCATTTGCGACGCTCTAAAATTACCGGCGTAATAAGTACGAAAAGATTACGCAGCCTTAACTTAATTAGTAAATGGAAGGATCAAAGGGTTCGACGACAAGCTGTTAAAAGTCTTACAAACACTGCAAATTATATTTCATTTTTAATTATAACCGTCTCGGTGTTTGAGTACGCATGCATTTTATTCGTTTTGTGTTTATTTTAATCATGTGTGTAATATCATGATATCAATGTACATTTATTAATATTATTTACATCTGCATGAACTTGAGAAAATATCGGTTGGTGAAACACGACTAAATGCACCACGTGCATTTTCAATTTCTTCTTCTACAATAAGAATACGCATGGAATTCAATGCGAACGGAAAACATGCATCAATCCACAAACAAAGTTATGCGCAAGGATATTTTGCTTCTATAAAAATCTAGTGTTCAATTCCAAATCCAATTTGTAAATATTTGTAATCCTGATATGATTCACAAAGGTCACCTGGTGATTTGCTATTGTGAATCACGTCTTCACTGAAAAGAAAATATGAATATTATAATTAATTCATTTTAATTCAATTCAATTTAATTCATACTTAAATATCATGCGGGGATGATTAAAACATTAATCTCAAATCAATCTAACTTTTTTATTATTTAAATTTGTTTATGTGAGTTTATTTTTAACTTAAAACAAAACTAAATTTATGTTAACGTACAAAAGTCGAACTCAAGCAATTCGTGTGCTAATAAATTTTTAATGTCACATTAAACTTAAAATTAATAATTACGACTGTTTTCTGGTTTTATATTTGTATGACAAATTCAATTTGTGTTGCAATTGCAAACTGTAACTCCATGGTCCGTTCATCAACGCCAGAAGGAAGTACTTGAATGTAAAAGCATCCTCCGGTTGCAAGAAGTCACGTCATCTCCTGAAAGCTGTTGACTTTTTCTTGCATTCCAAGCACGCTTCCCTTTTGCGTCATTTAATGTTCGATTCGTTTACATATATATTGTATATTCGTCCGTCACCAACGTGCTTTCGTGTGCTATATTGCGCAGGCATCATACGCTGTCTGACTTTAATGGTCTACTTTATTGCAAGCGGTTTTGGAATGCAGATAATAGTTTCACCCTTCCTGAAATCCAGAAAATCAACAAAGTATGCATATTTACCCTGGTATTCAGGGAAATTTTTGAGATATTCTTGTACAACTTGTTTTCATTGCACAAACAGGTACGCCATGTCGCTGGAAGAATATCTTGAATGGAGCACGACGGAAGTAACGACCACATTGGACGAAGATCTGGATTCGGATGACACGTACACGCCATACTCCGAGAGGCCCGAAACGTATATCGTCCCGATAGTGTTTTTCATCATATTCGTCGTCGGTGTATTGGGCAACAGGACACTTGTCATCATTTTCTTTCGGCACAGAGCGATGCGCAACGTTCCGAATACGTAAGCACTGCATAAATATCAATTTACTAGCTCATTTTACGTTGTTCTTTGGAGATGGAAGTAGGCACTCGGCGCCTGTGTAGGCGGCAATGCCGCTGCCGCTATAAACTTCGACTTCTCGCTTGGAAATATCAACTTCCCGTTTGAAGTCTGCCAGCATGAGCACAAAGCACGCGCGCTCAAAGTGCAAGCACGCAGAAACGCGCGTTTGAGTTTGCATCTTGGGTGACGCCGCATTTGTCTCCCCGCAACGCGACCGCGAATTTTCCATTATTTACTCCTTTCGCACTTGCAGGTACATCTTATCGCTGGCGTTGGCTGATCTCCTCGTCATCGTGACGTGCGTACCGTACACGGCGCAAATCTACACCGTCCCGACGTGGAAATGGGGCCTCGCATTATGTAAACTTTCCGAGACCACAAAGGACATCTCGATCGGCGTGTCAGTCTTCACATTGACCGCGCTATCGGCAGAGCGATACTGCGCTATTGTCAACCCACTAAGGCGATTTCAGGTCAGATCCCAACCAAATTGAATACCCGATTGCCCACAGTTTCCACCTAGTTTCCAATACAATATATAACGCCGTTTTGTCTATACGGAATATTCCTGCGATACCTTCACAATGTCTAATTGATCACGCACAAACGGTAGGAAGACCACTGGCGTTTTATTTACTCAACCGCTTTAAGTTATTTGCCAGGTTTCTAATCCGTGTTGCTACGCCGTATTCACGGTAGTGAATTAATAACTTAGACTGATTAAAATATGGCAACACACTGCGCCGAGCCATTCTGGCGAGTGTTATGGTTTGTATTGTAAACGCGCCCGTGGCGGCGGCGAGAATATCTTGGGAATAGAAGGCGGGCGCGGCGCGTGCGGGGAAGTTGCGACTCGATTGTTTGACGGCATTTGGCCGTAATCCGTTTAGATAGGAACGCTACTGTCGCGACGGAATGAATGAAACAAAACGTACGAAGCACCTAGTAACACATACTAACACGGTTTCATAGGGCAAAAGCAAGAATTGAATGTCGTAAAACGATTGCTAAGAGAAAGACGAAATACGAATATGTACACTTTACTACTCTTAACCCTAGAAACCACTTGAAAACTTCAAATTTCGTAACTTGTAAGAAAAATATCGACCAAATTTTAGTATTCCTAATTTAGATTCCAAAACGGTCCTAGAATTCAGAATATACTTTAAACAAAAAGTTTTTTTTTGTTGACAAACAAAAGTTTAAAATTACGGACTAATTTATGAAAAACTGAATAGTCCAGTTAAATTTGCAAAAAATAGAGTACATTAACTATCATAAAGCTAAAATTTGAATAGATGTGAGGAACATCGTTTTGAATAAAGTTCGAACGTTACCCACGAAACGGCTATATTTATCGAAAGTATTGGTCAGAAAATATTGTAAATCAGGTAATTTTCAACTAAAATTATGATATCTTTGTTATTGCAATAGATTAATCCAAGAAATACATTTTTATGTCGAATAGATACATTCAAGAAATAGGAAGATTTTGCATTTAAATTTGTTGTAGTAACAGTCATTGAACTCACAATAAATGAGTAGATCTATTTATTTATTTATGGCTAAAATTAAGTATTACTAATAGGAACAACAAAATATTGCAAAATTGGCATATATAGTTTCGTCAATTTTAGGCCGGCTACGTTTAAGCGCCAACCGCTGCCGAATTGGGACATACCTATCGGGTTGATAAGCATTGATGTCTACACACCAGTCTCTCTTAATTATTTTGGCAAACCGATTACGTTCGGTCTCCCAGGAAAGCTGGTTGTCGTCAGCGCAGCACGGCGTTGCTGTTGCACACACTCATGACTTTCGACTCCATCCTTAATTTCTATCTTGATTTTGGAAAGAAATAGTTGAGAAAATTAGCACTTAGCACTGCAGGCAAATTGGATTAAATGCAACTTACAGTGTTGCAAACTATGCTTGTTGTCGTAGTGGTAGTGTTTTTAGACAATCTTGATTTTGACATATTTGAGAATATTTATTGTTGAATGGATAGTTCAAGAAAACAGCAACTTTGTTATATAGTTTTGCCAAATTCCTTAATTAATTGAAAATACAAGAAAGTACATTTGAACTAAATATTCTAGTAATCTATTAAAAACGGCTATTCTAGGGTTACTAATTTCTGATTTGAACGTGTCAGCAAAGCTTACACCCTATTGTTCGAATTAATAGACATAACAAGCAAGTCTTTTGCTTCACGTAGATTTGTTCCACGCCGTTTGTTTATATTATTGTTTGTCGTCACGTTTTCACCCGGTAATAATGCGCCATTAGTCACCGCAATTCGCAAATGACTGAATCGCAAAACCACAATACACATCCGCTGAAATTGCCGTTCGATGTAACTTGTAAGCTCTATTTGCACCCGCAGATAAAACCGTTGACGCTACTGACGGCGATCCTCATCTGGATGCTGGCGCTCGTGCTCGCGCTGCCTGGCGCGATCATTTCGAGGCTCGAGGTGATCCCTCTGACCAACACCTCCAACCTCAACATAACAGTCTGCTCTCCGTATCCGGCGCCACCGTACAAGCGTACATTTGCTCGCTACAGTGTTGTGGCGAAGGCGCTCATCTACTACATCATCCCACTGTGCATCATTACAGGCTTCTATGTGTTAATGGCGCAGAGGCTGCAGGCCAGCACCCGGAAGTGCCCGGTGAGCTGCAGGGCCAAAGTCAGGCGCAAACACGTGCACGTCGGCACGTAGCCAAGATGGTCATGGCTTTCGTTTTCTGTAAGTAAACAACAAACATTCGCACTGCCGCAAACCGTAGAGGTTTGACTTAAGGTGGCTGGAATGGCTGAATTAAGCTCCTCTGTCAACACCTCTCAAATAAAAAACAATATGCAAACAAAGGATTTTGAAATTTGAGAAACGGAAACGTAAAAGTTTTATCGATTGCAAGAGAGATGAAAATCTTGCTATGTATACGTTAGCACGAAGATAAAACATTAAAATATAATTTGGTTGAAGTCTTGGTTTTTCATAAATGCTTGTGACTGATTTTTAATCTATGCATAACTGAGCATTTAAAATACGACCTAAATACGATATGATCCTCGTAATTTGTGCATAATTTAATTATTGTTTTCAGTATTCTTCATCTGCTTTCTTCCGCATCATGTCTTCATGCTGTGGTTCTGGCTATATCCATCCGCCGAACACGATTATAATGATTTCTGGCACGCTTTACGCATAATAGGTTTCTGCCTGAGGTGAAAACAAGTTATTTATTCTGGAGACATTTGCGATAAATTTAAGACGAGTCGTTTATAGCTTCCTCAACTCATGCGTGAACCCTGTGGCACTGTACTGCGTCAGCGGCGTCTTTCGTCAGCACTTCAATCATTACTTATGCTGTCGCCGGCAACTGCTTCTGGTACGCGGCGCCGTTCCGTCGCAAGGCAATTGCGAGACGAGCTTCAATTCAACGTGCCGACGACACACACAGGTAGATATGGGGAAATTCACTCGTTCGCGTTTGGTTTTCCGTCGCGACGGCGAAAATTGTCGTGACTGTTGAATGTGTTGAATATTTTAATGCCCTAGGGAACCACCATCGACGCGCACAGCGTTTACCACAAGAATAAACTCATTGCACGTCGAAAGACTTACGAAGGAAAAGTGATTAAATTTGAAACAAGCACTACCAGCAGCAAATCGGAGAATACGTTTAAACTGACCACTTGAAACAGCCCTAGCTGTTCGTCAAGTGAGCAATCGCATGAAAGGAAAAGAAAAGTCGTCTTTTGTGATAACGTTTGAACACATCTGCTATGCATTTGAGAAACGGCGCACTACATGCCATTAGTTTGACGCGCAAATGATGTTATTCAGTATCAAGATCAACATCAAAATTATGAGAGGTTTGGAATGTTTTCATTTGAAGACGAACATGATCCGATTACAATTAGACTAAGAAATGGTATTAATTTCGTGGAAATTCCAAAATTCCAGAATTCATATTGAAATTGTAAGTGATATTCTTAAATCTGCTGTTTTTCATTTTTTGTTTCCTATATTCCATATATGCTAAAGTAATCTTTGTACAATTCCGATATTCATACTCAATTTTAACTAACTACAAGTAAATATTAACAAATGTTTATATTATTATCCTGTATTTACAATATTGTGCTTACACTAAGTGTGCATATTGCTGCCATAAACCGTACCCTAAAGTAACTATAATCATACCTATGTTATATGTTTCATTTATTTACTCGTATATTTAAAACTCTAAAAATGTTATTACGCCGAGTTAGTCAAACTACTCTTCACATTCTCCTATTTATGCATATAAATATTTAAATATAATTGAGCTATTTGTACATGAACACTTTTAATGATTAGTAATAGAAGATTAGTAATTGATTGTAAATATCTGGAAGAAAACTGTATTTTATGTTAAATGTTATAAATGTGTTGAAAATTTTATGTATATTGCAGCCATATGCAAATATGTAGGTAATTATTGGAACGCATTGTTATCAATGTCATTTTTGCAAATTACTTTTATCTGAGTTTAAAGTTTATATTGAATGTCACAAAGAATACATAAATGGGCACAAGTTGTAACTTCTTGTTTTAATATTATTAAGTTATATTCCCCATTATTCTTTTTCTGCCGGTTTAATTCCAAAACCCATGAATAATTTCTTTTAAGGAAGACATTGTTAGGCAACTTTTGGTGCGGGCGCTTTCCTTGATTTTAAAATTTGTGTTTTCATCAAATGCATATTTGAGCAGGACGGCTGTAGTTCTTAGATATTGCAAACATTCTAAGGCGTCAGTGGTGTAGCTACGCGGCGGCGGTTCGTAGCGGGTGACTCCCGACTGTGAAAATACTAGAGGCCGACCGAAATTTCAATTTCGGTTTCAGTTTCAGGTAATTGGCCAAAATTTTCGGCCGTACCGAAACTGAGTGTTCGAGAATTTTATTCTAGTTTTATTCTGAAGTGACACACGATAGAGGTTTGAGGGAATCCTCGACCAAACATGTGTTCTAAAAATTTCCAAAACCAAAAATTTCCTATCTATCTTCAATTACATCACTTTATTGCTTAATATTGTTATAAATAATTTTATTGCACCATTCCTTAAATCGGTAAATCTTGAATTAATAATATTTTTATGTAAATTACAGTTTCGGTTTCGGCCGAAACTGAGGCCAGGGCCGAAATTTCGGTTTTGGTTTCGGCTAAAAAGCAGTTTGGTCGGTCTCTAGAAAATACCAGCTTCATGGGATGACACTACAACAACTCCCTAGTGACCCCGTGCAAGCTACGCCACTGTCTAAATTAAATTCAAAGAAACTCCTTGTACGTAGTCGGGCAGAAAATGGATCTGACATCTAAGGAATTTGCAGAAGTCTTTGTCATGTTTGATGCAACCTCGACGACTCTTAAAGTTATAGTCGCTCTTACAGTCTTTTAAAGTTATACCAGGACCAATTGGCAAATAACTAGGTATATAGTATTACGCCGTAATTCGAGTAATTTATGAAATTTGTACAAAAATAAGAGATAACATTCATAGGCATTTAAAATCATATCTACGAGTAAATTGAAAGAAAACTGTGGAAGGGTGTCCTATGATCGCCGATTCCGATTTTATGACATAGATGGCAGTAGAATCTTGAATTCAGTTGGCTCTTAATGCATTTGCAAGGACCTCAACACAAATAGATGTAAGAGGCAGCAGAGAGCAACATAAACGAAAATTTCGGCGGCACGTGAGATCGTTTTAGAAGGTTTCTTTGATGGAGGTAAAGGAAAGTAAAGCGGAGCTAATATAAACAAGAAATAAATGTGTTTTACTTTGTGCCTGCATTAATGTTATAAATTGGCGAAAGCATACTTGGCATCATCTCTGATGTTAAAGAATAAAACTACAACAAAATACTTTTAACAGAAAAGATTACATTGCTTTTACAACATCACAGCATTTGATTATGATGATGATTATTATTATCACAGTCTTTACTTTGACTTTTGTTTTTCTAAGAATGGCAAAGTGTAGTCCAACGCAAATTATGGAGAATTACGAGAAAATCTAGACAAATAAGAAATTTATTATCCGGAGAGCGGGTTTGGATTGTTTTGTAAGCTGTGTGACTGAAAACTGTTTTTGCGGCGGTTTCGAAGTTCGGGTAGTACGCGGGTATAACCGCCTCCGGTTGATATGAGCAATGTCCTCACTACGCACCCGAGGCCGGAGCGTGGAGAATATGGTGAAACATGAAAACCGCATGTCGGCCCATTTATAATCCACGGTCGAGAAAGCACAATTCAGTGCCGTCTCCCTACCCCAAGGACGAGAATTTAGTGACGGCGGAAGCGAACGCCAACGGGCGAAGGAGACAATGCGCGCACGAGCTTCTGGAATACAAAGAGTGCCGAATAATAATATAATAGTAATTGCTGCATACCGATAGTGAGTGGGTATACGCTTTTACAGTCGTAACCGAGTGAGGAAAAGCTCAATTACATCGGCTGTGGCATTTTTGCGACATTCGCATTCTTGGAGAAGCACAAAAGACGGGTGCGGACAATTAGCACATAATTGGCGGTTTAATAATTCATTTTGATCTCTGCACGTTCGTGCAAAAGCCACCATTAAACCGCCAAACTTAAACGCGTGAAATCGTAAAACGTTTGATCAATGAAATTAATGAATTGTAAGTAAAGTAAATAAAGCAAACGAAGTGAACGAGCACATTTCATCCACGTACAATGCATCGCCTCTGATCGTTGACGCTGGGGGCGTTTTATGCTTTGTTAGGATTTTTATTTTGCACGAGTTACACGACGAGGATGCGAGGCTTTATTGATTGATGACACGCACTGTCATGTCATCGCTGTTTTCGGGAAACGCGCACTTTTCGCGTGCAATGAATGAAGTCGCGTTAAGTTTTTATTGAAAATATAATGTGCTACCAGAACTCGCCAACCATATGTCACTGCCAGTTCCAAAATCGTAATTGCATTAAGCATTAGCATTCTCCAATTACGCAAATATTGATCAAATAGAAGTAGAAATTTCATAATATATTTGTTGCATGTTATTCACTTATATACATTTATAACTAAGTAGCTTTCAACGAAATGAAGATTAGTCAATGTGATTAATTGTTGTTTATTGGAATTATTATGTGCACACTACGCTATTAAAATCCTCAATTTAAGTTTAAAGAAATGAGAAATGCACTTTACTGTTACCAACGTTTAAATTGCATAACTAGTACATTTTAAATTATATTTTTGCAAGAAAAAGTAGCAAACTTACGTTTCTTTGGTCGAAAGTATATTTATACCAAAATTGATCTAAATTGATTTAGTCGTTCTGCGTGCAAAGCTTCACAAATGCACAAACAAATTCACAATTGCATTTTTATATTATTTTACGTTTAAAAGGCAATGTGACTCTATTTTTATCCACTAAAAATGTAACCTTTTTAATAAACAATATTACATCACACCAAGAAATATAAGACTAGGATGTACATAATGTTTTTAAACAGAAAATTTAAAGCAAGAATACCAGGATATCAATGTTAGTCTAACATTATGCAATTCCTTTACTGTCATTTCGCTTGTTTTTGTTTAAAGTTCAAGTATCTAAACAACACAGAAATGGATAAACCGGGAATTGATTAACTATGAGAGATTTTTCAATTTTTTGTGTGTTTTTTTTTTCTGTTTTCGTTGTTATTTTATCGTTTCTGGTATTTATGCTTTTAACAATTCATGCAATTTTTAGCAGCTTTGAACAGAAGTCCGTAACTAAAATTGATTTTTAGTTAGTATGTGAACATTTTATGAAAACATACCGCATTAAAACTTTTTACTGAGAGAACTAAGCAGTAGTAATATTTAAAACCGGTTCTAGCTAAATAATAAATAAATGTGCGCTTGTGCAAATAATAATGAAATGGCAAAGCATATCCTCTGTGAATGTCCTGCCATTAATAAAACAAGAGGAAACAATTTCGGGGTATTCCGCAACACACATTCTGTTAGCAAACTGTTTAGCAAGCTGCATATTATTGTTGCTTTTGTTAAGCTTTTGAAAGTTTTTACTTAATCACATACGAAAAACGATGAATCTAAATAATTAAGTAACAACTTTCTGTATCGGAACCAAGTTAAAACTTTTTTTCAATTTTATTGTTATAAAAAGTACTGCAAAATTTTAAAAGAAGTGGGAAAAGTTTATATTTAAAATAATAACGTTTTTCATATTTGTACAAAATATGTAGTATATTTCGTATCAAGTGACTAAACGGGGATTTAGTCACGAGATTGAGAGCGAGCGTAGCGTGCGTTTAATCAATCGAGTGTTTAACGATTAGGCACGTGATGCTTACGCTATTTTATTTACTTCCACTCTATTTCTACGTTTAGTTTTTGTATTTGAACTTTTGCTTTAAATCTTCCAAATTCGCTTGCACACTATTGGAAAATGTAAGATTATAAATGCCGTGCTGCGCCGACACGAGCAGCGCCGACAGCGCCTGCTTTGACTTCGTAGGCTCCGTAGGCAAAAACGCAGGTGCAAACTCCGCCCCGTAGATAATGCTCGTGAGTAAACGTTTTGCGTCATAAAACAGGGGCTTTATCGGTGGAAGTAGAAAAGAAATATTTACCTACTAGTATATGATTTGATAAATTAAGCAACTCATGAAATATGATGTGAACTAAAAAATATTTAGTTACCTTTAAAATTGATCCTACATTTTAATTAGAATATTAGTGTACACCCTGGTCAGCAAAAGTTTACACTTGACTGTAATCCGTGTTGGTAAACTTAGTTTTCCAGTAGGTAACAACCTGGTGTTATTTTCTTATAGGCCCGTGGTGTTAAATTTGTGTAATCTACACTTTTTAGAGTTAAGACTCCATCACGACAAAATAAAAGCCAATAATTTACGGCGCGCAGATAACCATGGGTACAAATAAAAGCAAACGTCAAGATGAGACAGCAATTAAACTTGGCGAAAGATAAACATTCATACTTAATTAATTAAGGCTTTGAAAAAATTGCTTTTAGATTAATTAGCAAAACGTTTGAAATGTTACAAATACTTCTACAGGTGTAAACGACTGCGTGAATATACCAGCTGGGAAAGCTCTGAAGTATTAAACAACGAAGGTGCATCCGAAGATTGTAATTAAAAATGCTAGTGCCAATTAAAACTAACGTCAAACAATAACGCCATTTGTTTCATTTTGAGTAGAGAATTGTATTTACTGTAGACGGAAAATCTACGCGCATGGTAAATTTTATTTTTCCTTCTTCTTTCTGTGTTAAATTTTCTGAAACATGAAACGAGCAGTACTTTTATTACGCAAGATTTTATTTTTCCATATATGTGGAGCACTGGTTTCTAAAATATTTCCGTTATACATAATAGATTTCATATCGCGTAATATTTTTTTCATAAATTTTTTGATCTTCCATATAAAATTGATTTTTAATGAAGCTGAGTGAAAAAAGCGTAAATATAAGAAATCAAAATGCACGGTATGCATAATTTTTGGCTCTTAAAGCATAATAAATGAGTTTTGCATATGCTTCTAATTAAAAGTCAATTATCTAGTTTCTTTTGCCCTTTTTCGGTAGCAACGGGCCCACCTTGGGCATTTCGTCCGCTGCTTTGAGGGGGATAGTGAGAAGGATACGAGAACATGTCTCTGTAACAAAGAATACTTCAGGGTAAAATTAGTTATCGTCATTTGAATGATATAATATTTCATAAATGCATATCTTCAATAATAATCCTGAAAATTTTGCTAGGTTAGAATTCTCTAGTGTTTCTTAAACATTAACAATCCTTTATATAAATGAAAGTACCTGTTTATATTCAACGATAGTAATTGATATGACGTATTGTTTTAATTATAATTTTATTTTTTTATTTACTGTAACAACTAGCCTCGATTGTAAAATCTACCTACGTAATAAAATATTTACTTCATCTTTAGTTTGGGACAAGTCATATATCGCATATCATTTATTATTAACTTTTGTTATGCACAGAAAAACTCTCCATATAGACTCGTCTTGTACTCATCTGATTAATAATAAAATATTTCAGCAATTTTTTGATGACATCGACGTGAATGTTTATGAAGGCACGTATTTCCCGCCGAAAAAACCTGAATTTTTATTTCTTTATACAGATTTATACAAAATCACAGTCTCTCTTTATCTCACATTCTCTACAAAAATACTTTTTGTTTTGTTTTGAAACAATTCTATGTTTCTTGATTAATGTTCACAGAAATTGCTGAATATTGCCATGGTCGGCTGAATTTTCTTTATTCCATTCAGAACTTAAAATTGGCAAGATCTGGTAGTGCGATATTTAAATCAATTTATCGTTTTGTTCTATGTTTAGACTTTTCCTACTACTGATATCGCCAATCGACATCCTTTTACTTACTTACTTACTTCAACTTTGAAAGGTCCCTGAAGTTGTCTAAGTCAGTCCCCAGGCAAAACAAAGATCTTGAAGTATTCTTTAAACCAATGCCTTTCTACAAGTTCTGCTTTCTTGGGTATGTGATCTTTGTTTGGCACGTAATTAGATTTAAAATAAGTGGCTTTCGTTTCTTTCTATAAACTGAGCTTGATTTATTTTTGTATCACATCAGTATATTACGCAGTTTAAGTGGTATTCAAATGCATGCAAGAGAAAAAGTTGCAGCAAATGATACTTTATGAAAATCCAGCACGTGCAAACGACGTCAATGATGCAAATTGACAGCTTGTTATTTTGAATACATGCCCTGAAATGAAATTCTTACTATTATGATTTCTTGTTTATTTTTGGTTTTAGTTTTTACCATTTTGCAGGATATAATTCGTAAGAACCTCTTTGAATTCTTTATGACAGCAATATTAATCAATTTATCTATCAATTTATTTATTTATTTAATCATTTTTTCCCAGTATTTAATGATTTTTGGACGTGTAAAAAATAATTAATATTATTCATGGCATTCACCGTTATCAATTAAAAAATCGTTTATAATTTAATTCTACATTTTACATTCTACATTCAATAGTAAGCCCTCCCGAAAACTAAATCGCGTTAATTTTGCACAGCAAAATATTTCTACAAATTCAGCAATTTTTTTCCAATTTGGTAAAAAGCATTTTAATTGTTCACACATTTGCCGTTTGATTTCGGTGTTACAACCGTAATAATCAGTTACGGTTGAGGTGGGATTTCAGACATTTACTTCCATTTTCACTACTTTCTAACTGCCGCCGGCACGCATTTGACACGCAGATAAGTTAATACGCCTGTAAGTTTTCTTTGCAATGGTACCTAATTCAATATTCTATGATTTTAATCTCCTGAGTTTCGAATAGTTTTTAAACGCTTATTTTTATAAATGAAACAGAAAAATATATTTATATGACATAATAACCCCCAAAAAAATTCCATCCATATATTTTATAATGATAAAATTTTCTTTGAAAAATAAAATTTTTGTTCAATTAATCTATAACTGCAAGACTATTACATATGCTTTAAGCTTGTTGATTGGTAGCAGTACGGTATGCGCTTTCCTACCGAGTCAAAAATCTCACGATAATGTTCAGGACGCTTGCGCTCGCTCCCCATTTGCTGGCGAAACGCGTTGGCGGCGGCGTTTAGGACGCTGGAAAACATTTCTCACTGTGTTTCGGCAAGCTGCGTGCGTACGGTGCGAACAGCACGGACTTGTCGGACCTGACGATAACCGCGCTCTATTAACTTGTTTCACGCGCCGAATTCATTATTTCAAATGTTCGGAAGTCGGAAAGTTTTTCAATAAACTGACTGGCTTGCAGTTAACGAGCTCCTGTTGAAATTAACCATACATTTGCCACATAAATAAATTGAACCGTTCAAAACTACAACCTTCAAACAAAATATTGTGTCCGTTCTGAAAACTGTTGTTAAAAATGGGATAGAAACATAAACCTCGGGTGTGATTTTACCTGAAATTACAAAATAACTACAACGGAACTAAACATGCAGATGTTCCTGGAGTTTGTTTAAAGTTGATCTGGAAAGAAACTTCGTTCTACAACGTGGTGAAAAGTTAGCACTCCAAGAACAAAACGACAATCTGCAGGTAATAATCAATCACACATAATTTATTCTGTAAAGAAACAAAAGCTTCACTTAGAAAAAATATTTTTTATTTGAGCTTTTAAAATAAAAATATAGAGTGTCAAATTATAATTTCGATTATACATTCTTTGGAACACGTCTGAAAGGACCTTTTTGTATTGCCGGTGGGTTTGAATGCGTCTAGTTGAATACATTACACACGTAATATAAAAATCAACTTCCAAACCAAGGCATGAACTGAAATGAGCTGGCAATGTTAGCTGAATTTTGATTTCGATTCATGGTGCAAATTTCCGGTCTTATTGTGTAATGTTTTCATACATTGCCTCTCAAATAAAACTTTTCATAACGGCAATTGATGTAAAAGCTTGGTCAATTTCATTTCAAGTGCTTGTTGCCACAAAGTAAACAATTTGCCTTCTTTTCATTGTTATCGGTGAACACAAATTAATATTCGAATGATTATTCGTGTTATTCTTCCAAATAAATTAATTCACCAATTATACAGTTTATATGTGCAATGTACCAGTCAGGAAATAATTTTGATCATTTACAAACTCTGAACTGTGGTGTACTGAGGTGTAAACGTATCTTTTTGACATCAACACTACTGATATAAACAAAGTGAAATTCATTGATGATGTATTGCCATATGTTTCGTATCTTTTACATTTCGAGAAAGAATTACAGTAATGGTTGAATGAAATTTAACACATTAAATTAAATTATTGTGATAGTTCTGAAATGGACGAAGTTATTGTGCGACTAGTTAAAAAAATTGCAGTGGAATTTAATATGTGAAATGCATAAAGCAACAATATGCTACATATCTTACATTTTCACTGACCATTCTAACGAATAAAGCCGTCGTCTTCACTTGGATACAAGATATCAGAAATACGAGCGTTGAAAACTTACCCTTTATATTGAGCTTTTCACCACCTCATGAATATTCCTACGAATATAAAAATCGATAAACGACATTAATTTCGTTCTTAATTAACTCTGTCATCTTAGAAGTACTTGCAGGTATGTTACAGCTAGAGTGAAGCACGCTCAGAGAATCACACTTATAAAAGATAGCGCAACACGGCGAATAAAATTAATTGATGCTAGTTGCATCTAAAAATATCCACGCGCTGTTTTCGCCCAAAGTCAGTCGTAAGCGCAGTCTTTACATTGTGTTCGACAAAATGCAAATCACCTCTCACCTTTCACGTGTTTCATGAAACTTAATTTCGACGACGGGAAATTACATTTATTAAGTTTTCGTTAAAGTTAAGATCTGCTCTTCGGAATTCGGCATACTGCAAGGAATGCCTCCAATTGCCCTCCACTGTAAACTTTAATTAGAATAAAGTTTGAATATTGTAAAAGTTTTTATTTTTATTTTATGACTGTTTCAATGTCAGCCGACCAAAGCACTTCAATGTGTCGAAAACTTTTTCCATTTGTTTAATTTATTAAAAAGTTTGGAATTAAGCGTAATATATAAACACCCACATTTATATGGTAAATACGTTCCGCATCAATTCGGAGTCAATTACAATTACAACTTTTCCTTCCCAACATTTTTAATCACTGTATGCAGGGTGTTAATGTTTTGGTTTTTTTATTGCCGATAAAACAGGAGCTGGCAAGCTTCAACAGTTAAATATGTTTATATGTGTGTGGTAAGCTTGATTATATTATGCATGTTATCAACAAAGTTTGATGTTACATCAACGAACGGGATGGAGATCAACAAAGTCCAATATTTTTAATTGCATGTGTATTGCATGTGCTGCGAATATTTTGTATAATAGTCATGCTAGTATTGTTTTTCTGTATCAAATGTTTGTCGTCGGTCCGACGCGTAGAGATTTTCGTTCATTATAGTTGTCGATTTTATGTTCATTAGAAGGAAGCGTAATGCGAGATGAACATAACTTGCGCGGACATGGACGATTAATTCCAGGCACGAAACCAAAAAGTAATATTTCTAGTTAAGTATAAAAGTTCGTTAAAAGAAGACTAAGCAATATGCCTGCACGCTCGGGTTAGGCTTTATAGTAATACCGGAATTTGTACCTAGTCTTATACATCAAATTTAGTTAATAAATACTAATAGAAAATATTTATTAAAATAATTGAAAAATTCTGGCTCAAAGTGTTGTATAAATCAAGGGTGTGCTCTAAAGAACTTCCGTAGTTGAAGTTTAAAGTAATGAAATTTTTATAAGCATTATAGTATATTGATATTAAAAAATAAATTATTGGATGTCAACCAATTAGTCATTTGCTCTCCTATATCTAGTATAATATCTAATTACTGTCTTAAATGGTAAATACTTCAATTTAAAATAAAATAGTAATTGCAAAGTCAACACAATTTAAATTTAAACTTTAATTTAACAGTAATATATTTTTGTGTGTTATGTCAATAAATAGCATTTCTTTTTCCGATCAGAAGATATATTATTTATAGAACATGTTTTTGTACACAATGACAACAAATATTTGATGCTTTGAGCCCATTCGCTAGTTCACTCTTTTTGATTACTTCTCTGCAAGGTGCGTGTCATACGTATTTATGTCCGGTGGATTTAACTTTACTCTAGTTCAAATTACTACATTGTATCACATATATTTTCTTTTCTTTGTCGAGTACGTAATCCATATTGTTAATTTTTTTTATATATCTATTTAAAAATATCACATATATATTTTATGTTATAAATTTCTCGTTATAAATGACATTGTATCGTTTTTACTATTTTAAAATGAGAAGGTTTAAGTGTAATTTTAAATTTTAACTCTTGACTTCTGATAAATCATCTTCAATATGTTTCTGGGGAAATATTAAATCGGGCCAATAACATTTTCTCGAGAATAATAATTATTATTGAATTTGACCAACGTATTATAACGTTCATATGGGTAATTATAAATAAATAACACCCACATTACATTGCTGTTTAGATTATGTTGCAAGAGGGATTGTACAATTACCAATCAGTGATTACTTGCCCACCTGCCCACTCTGATTTGCACGTAAAGCATAATTAAAGGGAGATTTGCACAAATATATTGCAAAGTAGCTACATCATATAAAACCGATTATCTGATTAGTACAGCTCTTAGTGAAACATATTTATTGAAATTTCCTAATATCCACATGTTCTGTTTATGGTTCTCTAGCGGTCAATGATATATAAATTATATTCCAATTCACCAATTGTTCCGGAGCGATAAGCAAGTTACACGCTATTTTGTGCCCGGGGAATAACAAAACTAAGAAACAAGGTTTGGAACTGGACAAGAAACTGCACTGCATCTGCAGTTTCCCTTGTAGTTGTTACATGGTTTTAGAAATTTACTTTGTCATAGCGGACTTCAACTGCTTCAACTGCAGTTTTTGGTAGTACAAGATATCGTAGACTAAGCAATATGTAACCTGTCACTTACTCGTATAACTGGCTTAAGTCTAATAAAGACATTTATCTGATAAAAGAAGTCGTATTGCATAAAAAATTTAAACTATACTTCATGATATTCATTATTTGCCAATTTTTTTTATAAACCGCTTTGTCATACAAGTATACTGTATAACATTCATTTTCTTTTTGGCGATTAACTGATAAATTATCAATTATCCCTTCTTTTAATGCGTATTCTTGCTGTAGGCACAGTTACACCACTTGCTACGCCACTGCTTCTTTGTTTTAAGATAAAATCAGATGTTAAATAATCTTTGAACAATTTTTCTTATTTATAATTTAGTGTTGTGTCTATCTTTATTGAAGAGACATTATATAAGTATATTTGTTCAGTCATTGAAAAAATGAGACACTTCATAGATAATTACCGCCCACTAGTAACAAATTTTATTCGAAATTTAACAGAGTTCCGCTTAAAATTAGAATTACAGGTTATAAGACCATCTCTGCAAGCTTAATCATTTTGTTTATTCAAATTGTTTACATAAGACAAGCTTCCGCTGTACCTACCTCCGCGTAGAATTGAATCCTGACTTATTGCTTTCTTGTTTCTAGAAACTATATTTATGGATTATAACTGCAATCCACTGTTATGTGCGCCCTATGCCAATAAGATCTTCAATTTTAATTTTTAGATATGAGCGGTACTCAGGATAATTATGACTGATTCTCTATATGAAATATACTTTTAATCCCTATTTAAGAATTTATAATTTAAATTTTTTTTATTGAAACAATCCTTACGCCAACATTTACTAAAATAGATCTTGTTGTTTCTGCTTCAAAGCATAACAAATAAAAAAATATTAAAGATTAGGTCTATGTATTTTTACACTGTACCTTTTGTATATGTGATAAACTGAGTTGTCGATTTTTTTGAAATCATATACATAATTTAGTATTGTTAAAATGTCATCTTCATAATTAACAGCTCACTCCACGCGTACTGTTCGGCCTTTTTAATTAGCCGAGTTCTATCCACACAAAGAGCATAACCCATAATCCAAAATCCTAATCTGAACCGGTCTTTGAAAGACGTTAACACGTCAAAAACAGTTATACATATCTAACCCCATATCTTCTTCTATCTATCCTGTCAATCTGGCGTTATGACTGAATTATGGAAATGATGTAAAAAATCAATTTTAAGCCTACATTTCCTGCTTGTGCTATTCAAGGACGGATAGGATGACAGACACTTGTGGAATATTTGATAAGTATTAGATATTTACTTTTCTCTTTATTTTTGGAATTGATTTTCCCTAAAATACCACGTTTTCAAGTGGGATCCTTGAGCATTGAACCAATCCCTAAATGCGCTTGACGACTGGTCATTCACACTCGATCCCTGAATGCGAAAAGCTTTCGAAGTAGTTGAAGACATTCCACAAACAAACCGACAGCGTAGATCATTTTCAGGGTGAAAAACAAATTTTCTTTTTATATTGGATTCAATCTTTTTATATATCTACTCTATTTGAAAATTTTCTATTGATATTCAATCGGTTATTTGAATATTTTT